AGCTATGAATAACATGTATCCAGACCATCCAGGGATACACTGCATTCTAAGTCTTATAAAAATGCTTCATGGAGTTGGAACAACGGCACATTTTATCTGGTCGCCTGGCCATATAGGAATTAAAGGAAATGAAATGGCTGATAGAGCAGCAAAGGAAGCTCTTACTCTTTCAGGCCGCGGTAAAGTTTTTTTGACACCATCTGAACTTGCACGACCTCTGAGAGAAACCATATTCCAAGAATGGCAAAGACGGTGGGACAACAGCGCACCTAGCAAATTAAAAACAATAAAGAAAGAGGTGCAACCGTGGACCAGCTCCAGACGCAGCAGTCGTAGAGAAGAGGTCGTCCTCACGCGGCTGAGGATCGGACATACTAGACTGACTCACCTCCACCTCATAACAAAAGATTCTATCCCCCGATGTCAAAAGTGTAACCAATCACTAACTATAAAACATATTTTGGAAGAATGCCCTTTTTACACCGCAAGATTAAAAGATTTTGGAATACCCCAGAATATATCAGCATCCCTGGGAAATCAAGAAGAAATCGTTACCAAAGTCATCAAGTTCCTGGATAGTGAAAGACTTGAAAAACACATTTGACAGGCTTTTTTTTTTATTATCTATTTATTTTTATTATATTTTCTCCTATTATTATTTATTTATTTATTATTTATTTTTTCACTTGATTTCATTTCATTTTAAATTCATTTGTTTATTAATCTCAATTCATTTATTGATTCTACTGCTATTTTTTAAAGTTTATTTATTTATACATTTTTTATACATCTTATTACCTACAAATGTCTATTATTATCCTTATTTATTTATTTTATCCCATCAATCCATTTCTTTGTTTATTTTATTTTTTATTTTCTTATTATTTTTTTTATTTTATTTTTTTTTTTTTTTGTACCAATCATCCAAATAGTATTAAATGATGTTATTTAATTGATCGGGCGCTTATGACCTGGATGTTTTGCGCCTTGACATCGAAACAAACAAACAAAACAAAAAACTTAATTAATAAAAAAAAAATTAATTCTACCTGGAGTCGGACTATGTTCTCTATGGCGGGTGAGAATTCTAGTCTTAACCTAGTCTAGTAAAAAATATATCTTCAGTGTTGATTTATAGTTAATTTTTGTGTAGAGATGGTTGACCGTGATATAATATGAGGAGTTGGTCGGAGGGTGAGGTCAAATAAATACTTTTTTTTTAAATTTATTTATTTAGACATATAATATTCTGTCACGGGGACAGTAATTATATTGATAAATGAACACATTCACACCGTATATACAAAAAAATAAAATTAAATTAACAAAAGTAAAATAATAACGAATTAATATTAAATAAAAACTATATACAATAAAAAAATAAAATAACCTAAATATAAGTAAATTAAAAACATAAAAATACAGTCATACCTATATACAATATATACAATCAGGCGGGGAACCCAAATCCCTGCGCTACTCTCTCAACCGCCTCACTGGTGCTAAAGCCGGTGGAGTAAAATAGATACTAAATTTGTAAAATAGTATTTTAATCGTTACACCGACGTTTCGACCCACGTTTTAGATCTTCATCTGGGCTACAAAAGATACAAAATATAAAAGGTACGTGGTGAAAATAAGATAAATGAATTATAAGTAGATATTAAATAAGAAACAGGTGTCTGATTAGGAAATAATGAGATGACACCAGAGATATAGTGGGTGGCAGTGTAGTTAAAATATCAAGTATTTACATATATACAAGATACAAACAAACAAATAGAAAATAAGTGTGAATAAAATTAGAAAACAAAGGTGAATATAGCGTGTAAGTTAAAAGTAAACAGACTGTGATAAAAAAGAAGAAATGATTAGATAACAAACTGGTAAAAGTTATTATTTTTGTTTGTATCTTCTATATATGTAATACTTGATATTTTAACTACACTGTCACCCACTATATCTCTGATGTCATCTTATTATTTATTTATCAGGCAACTGTTTCTTATTTAATATCTACTTATGAATCATTTATTTTATTTTCACCATGTACCTTTTATATTTTGTAACTTTTATATTTTGTAACTTTTGTAGCCCTGATGAAGACTTACAAAGTGGGCCGAAACGTCAGCTTAACGATTAAAATACTAGTTTAAAAATTTAGTATTTATTTGACCCCTCCCTCCGACCAACTCCTCATATAGTTAATTTTATTTATACCTCTTTACTAGGGGGTACTCCCTGTCCTCTTGACCGACCAACCCCCATTTTATAATGTATACAACTATTCATTTAATTGTCCTACTGTAATTTACATGCATTCTGTAGTTCAGACTACATTATTTTTTATTAACATAAAATAAACGGAACGAAACGACAGAAATTTTTAATTTCTTTAAAAATATATATTATTATACATCGCGATTTATTACCAATTTATATTATTATATAATTATAATTATTCTTATTGCCAATTTGTAACCATAATAAGGGAGAAATAATTTTGGGAATAAAAAGTGTAGTGTCTTAGTTACGTTCCGTCTGCTACATATATGTAAAATAAATATGACACGGCCATTTAAAACTTTTTTATATAATAGAGTGAGATAATGAGAGTGTTGATCCGAATCTTGTCTGAATAGTCATCAACAATGACATCTCATTCAAATCTTGTTGGTTAGGGGTGGTTAGGGCTTTGCTCATTGATTGCCCCATGGTTTTAAGAGATAGTAATACGATTATGCACAAAATTTACATGGACGCTCAACAAAGCCATTTTATATTATTTAAACGAACTTATATGATTAAAGTTAACTGATGGATAATTCATATAATTAGATTTTTATTCACTCAATCTTCCGATAATTTAAATATGGAGCAATTGTTAATCATTTCATAGTTGTTTCCCTTACTTGATTGGTGATATTTACTGTAATATCCATAATGGAATTGTAATAAAAATAATACTAATCTTAAAATATGTTTTACATAATTTAAATTATTGCATACTCAAGTAGAAGTCACAGTCAGTGGTTCACCGAATACAATCAAATTATTTTTGCTGATCCTTGGTGGACAGAGTTTTTGACAACTATCCCGGCGTAGGAGCCGAGAATAAAACATTAAACTTTTAAAAAATATTATTTTTTCTATAATTGTTTTCTTCTATTGTTATGCATCTACAAAAGCATCCTATATATTATTTCTAAAAGGTGTTTTTTTGTCGGTACGCCATAACTTCGTAAATTCTTCATCAAATCCAATGATTGACCACTCATTTTGAAGATATTCTTCTCATTCACATGCGAAAAATAGTCCCATCCTCCCGAAATCTCTGGGAGTAAAGTTATGGAGGAAAAGAAACTTTATTTGTGAATAGCTCAAAAAGTATACTTTTTTTTTTATTGTAACCATGATAATTAGAAAGATTACTAAATTACCTACAAAACGAAAAAAATCGGACAATTATTAACAAAGATACAGTCCATTAGTTTTGGTATACTTAACACTAAACATACCATAACGGGTCAAATGACCCATTTTGAACTTTTCCATTGAAAATGCACGTATAATTTTATTGCGTTTGCACATTTGACTTCATGACTTTTTCTAAGTAATTAATGTACAGTTATAAAAATATTTTTGTTTTGTTTTGTTTTGTTTTTTCTGAGTAATCCTTGTTGTATACCGATATCTACCACAACAGGTCATTTGACCCGGAGAGAATTTTTTTGTTTTATGAGATTATCTAGTCATATTTGTAGTCAGTAAGTTGCACATTCTTCCAAAGACTGTTGCGTAAAGTAGTTCAACGAAAATAGCTCAGAATAATTTCAAGAAAATATCAAATTTTAGATTGAAAATAGCTTTTTAGTGTAAGAAAAAGTGGCAAAAATTGAAAGTCTTGGTAAGTACCTAGCTTATATTTTATTTTGATAGCTATAGTAATACAGATCATTTTTTACCCAGAAAAATGTCGAAGCAAACAAGACAGTACAAGTTCTTAGAAGATATAAATAATATTGGCGAAGAGTTTTCAGAAATTAGTGAAGATGAATTTTCTGAAAATGAAGATATATCGGTTGCAAATAAAAATGAGTTTGATTCTACAGATACTGACGATGAAGAGGAAAATATTGTGAATGTATGTAGCGGCCGAAAAAGAATAAGATTACTCACAAGTTCGGAAGAAAGTGAAGTAGAAATAAATGAAGAAAATGTTGCGAATGATGGATCTGTTTGGCAACAAATGCAAGTAGGTGGCACACCTGGAAGAGCACCACTGCGATGAACTATGAATTAAAAGTTTTTATTTTTTGCTTTTGTAATAGAAATGCTCAACATACTATTTTGTTTAATCATAATAAATTTAATTTATATTTTTATTTCCTTCCTAACATCCATATTTCATACATTCAAGCATGAAACATAAAGTCGGGTCATTTGACCCGCTATGGTAGAAATAGGTATATATTAAGTCTTGGTATGATTAGTGTTAATAATGTCTTCCGATTTGAAGATATTGCGTTTATAAATAGAATAGTCTGCTACATTTTTTCTTGGCTGATATGTTAATTTTATCATTTCTAAAAGACATTTGGTTGTTCTCACATTTTATTTTTTATTAATAATTTAGAATAGTCCATGATCGTGGTATTATTTTGTCTATCTTACAGTCAGCGTTAAAAATATCTCCTACTATTTCTATTATGTTTAATGGAATATTGTAATCGACCAAGAAAAAAATATTAATTCCTTCCTTACATAATACATAGGAACTACTTATTTCCATATAGTTTTGCTATTTCTTCACTAAACAAATAGCAATTTTCCAAGAATAAAAAAAAAAATTTAAGCCCTCAACATTTTTTGTCATAATGGTATTTAGCAATCGCGAAAATCTTTCATGGCTCCCAGGAAACTCATCCGATCAAATTCAACTTTTATCATACCAAAAGAAAATTAAAATGCACCACATGGACATAGATATTATATTACATCTCGAATTAAAATTGAACCTTGTCATTTGGTATATTTTAATGTATTTTTGTTAATATAAAAATTAGAATTTAATCGGTTGACTATCCTGAGAGCTATTAAGGATTTTCGAGATTGTTGAATAAAATTGTGATATGGTAAGAGAAATTTTTGGAAAAGACAAGCATATACTCCTCCCCACCTTTTCTGCAAGAACTTTCATTTTTTACGTACGTTTTGAGATTCCTGCCGACATAATAAATGAAGTTTCTCCGGTATCAAGACAAGGATCAAGATTTTGTAATTATAAGAAATTAAAAGAATCACAATTGAGCTCATCCGATGCAATGATTACCATTTCACTATATGCAGTTCCGACTTTTACGCCACAAACCCTTTACCAACATGTTATAAAAATTTCTGTCAACACTTCGACTTCAACCATTCATAATATATTTTTATTACATTTCGTAGCCAAAATTTGGTTAATGCAACGAAATCTCTTTTTAAAAATGAATACTTTTGAATTAATATTATAATTTAATGAAGAGATAGTGATCAGAAAATTAGGGAATTAATTGATATAAGAGGTAATTAGCGGTAAATACTCAGATAATGGGATGAGCTAATTGTCAACTGCCCCCTCCCCGAGAGGGCTCGGCAATGTTCGGCCCGGCGAGCGGAGGGCAACGAGAACAGGTTGAGTTGTGGGGTGAGGCCTCAAAGATGGCGAATGTTACGTTTTCGTGTCCGTGTTGTTTACGGTTTAGATATAGCCCCGAAGAAATTGAACAGAGGACTCACAGCCAGGAAATAGATAAAACTATAGAAAAAGAAAAACACTCTTTCAGGCGGCAAGTGAAACTCTTACTCCTCGGGGCAGGTGAAAGTGGCAAGTCGACTTTTCTTAAACAAATGAGGATTATTCATGGTGTCAAATTCGAGCCAGAGCTTATCAAGGAATATCAACAATGTATATATCAGAACATAGTGAAAGGTATGAAGGTGCTGGTGGATGCCAGGAATAAACTCGGTATACCCTGGGAACACCCGGCAAACAGCGAGAATGGGAGTTACGTTCTGAGGTACGAAAACACTATGCCATTGGATACCAGGCTTTTCGTACACTATACACCGACCCTCTTCAATTTGTGGAAGGATTCGGGGATCAGAAGAGCTTTCGAGAGGAGGAGAGAATTTCAGCTGAGTGATTCTGTTTCATATTTTCTTAACAACCTCGAAAGGATATCGAGAGTGGTGAGTTCTTTTGACCGATACAGGTTACCACCCATTTCACAAACAAAAGTTTATCTCTTTTTTTTGTTTCTGGAAAATTATGTTTGTTTGAGTAAATTTGGAAAACTGGTTGTAGAAGGTTATAAAAGTTTAGTTCTGCCTCCATCTTCCAAGTAAATGTCATATCACTTACCTATCCCATATACTTATCACAATGTCTACTTAATGATACTGTAATGTTTGCTTTGCTACTAAATCAGTTTCTAACATTTAATGTATTTCTGACTTTGCTGAATTACTCTATTGGCATGCATTAATTATATATGGGTGTGTCTTACATAAATGACTGATCTATATGAAAGCTTTGTCATTCTTATTTATTTTCATGATATCATTTGATTACTTCATTTTGTCATCTTATGATTTAACAATAATTAAAACATTTAAAATCGGAATTCTGAGTTGTTTTTAATTTGTTTTAGGATTACATTCCTACCAACAAAGATATACTCCATGCAAGAAAAGCTACGAAAGGTATCTCAGAATTCACCATTCCCATTAACAACATACCTTTTAGATTTGTTGATGTTGGTGGTCAACGATCCCAAAGGCAAAAATGGTTTCAATGTTTTGAGTCTGTAACGTCCATTCTTTTCCTTGTATCATCTTCAGAATTCGATCAAGTACTTGTGGAAGACAGGTAAATGAAATATATTTATTTTAATTTCATATATTTCTTTTCATGAAGAAGTAGCCGTTGTATTTTGGATATTACAAACTGTCAAATGCTTATCAAAAATGTTTAAATACTGTAATTATGTTTTCCTTAGGTTGTTTCCATAATTCCTCTTGAAATAAGTTATTTAGCTTGCAGATATGATATTTTGTAAATGTAAGCATTCCAATTTCAATTCACTCTCTTCAATCAATTCTAATTTTTCTATTTCATTATCTTGGATATATTTATTTGTCCATTGATGGTATAAAGCAGTAAAATTAATTATTAACTTGCAGTTTAGTTAACATTTTACTTTGTTTATTATCTTGTTACTAAAGTAGCTTTTGAATATTTTAACATTTAATTATGCCTTTATCTAATTTATTGACATGTAAAAGTTAAATCTTTTTGAAATTATAAATAGCAATCAATCTTTCTGTAATTTAAAGCTTTGAGGTGTATAATATGTTAAGGCTTGCCTGTTAAATGTTTTATTTAGCAAGGTGGCATTCCCCAGCTTGTTACCTGCAATAAAGGTGTTAATTCATAGTGTAGTTATATGAATAATTTTTATCAGTTTAACCAAAAAAATCATAGCACTATAGTTGCCATGTGGGGAAAGATCACAATAATGGTCCAGTTCATGGAATCCCTTAAATAGCCTATTTTGTCTGGAAGTATATGTAATTTCTTTGTGAACATCTAATGCATAACTTCGAGGTTATATTACACACAGAATATAAATAAATGTGTAGTTGTATCATGAAGATGGATATCGAAATAAAGAAGTTATGTTTCCATTTGACAATAATTACATCTTGCACTTTTTGGATTATTAAACACAACGATCATGAGTCTTGGAATTCAAATAAATTTACAGTGATTCAGTTAAAGAAACAAATGAAAAGTTGGAACAGTAAATTCTAACTTAAATAATACGCAACATCAAAAATAAATAAATAAAATGATCAAATTTAATGAAAAACAATAAACAAAATATTTAATTTTTTTTTTTGACTTGTATGAAATGAAGAGAGAAATTTAATATGTTAAACTACATACAACAATTTTTATTTAAAACCTAACATGCTATCTTGTCTCTATCCACTCATTAATACAATCTAGCTTTACTTAATTAAAAGTTGGTCTATCAAAGCCTTGACTATTTAACAATTTCACGAACATATAATTAAAAGAGTATTTTCTATATACTGCCAATGGCGCCCTTAGACATTCGGTGCCCCCAGGCCTCATATACCTCCCTCCGTAAAAAAATTAAATTTATTTCTTAAGTTGTTTTGTATTATGTAATATTTGGATTTTATTTAATTCAGCACTTCTCTTAATACAGTTGCTTTATTGATAGACTAAAATTAATGATTTTAATATGTTTCTTTCTTTTTTAAAATTTATTTCTAACAAGTTGTGAGCCAAACAATTAGTACTACCAAAACAAGTAGGGTTGCTGAAAAGAAATTCGATGCATGCATGAGAGGAAAATGTAATAACTTGCTTTATAGAGGTACCCATGCAAATGTTTTTACTCTCACTTACGTATATATGTAAAATATATAGTAAGGGTAAGTATTGCGATCGTGAAAATTTTTGGATCTGAGTTTTCAATGGAAATACACGTCTTGGGGTACCTTAAGTCCAAATAACCAAGTCCTGAAAAATGGTCTGTGTGTTTGTATGTTATCAGTCTAATTCAAAATGAAAAGTCGTAGAAAACAGATATTACGTATTTAAGATAGGTATATGCCTTAGATGTCACAGTAACTTTTTCCTTAAAATCGGCAAACCAGAAGTGCCACTTCCTAACATACTATGAATATCAACGGTGAAACACATTTTACAATTTTCTCAAAAAACGACTCTAACGATTTTGATTAAACTCGGTGTATCATTGTATAATTAAGTGGTCTTTAACATCATATAGATCTTATCCCCGTTGATGTCACTTTACAGGTCTTAAATACCCAATGTTCATATGCGTCTTCCTTTAATGCATCTTTAATATGGTTTATTTTAAATAATTTACTATCTCTCATTATCAAGAAAAGTGGCAACAAAATTATAAATAATAATTTTTGAAAACTAATAATATTTAAATTCCTGCTTTCCAGGAAATTAAATGAAATTTACTAACTAAATGTAAACTTTTAAAATATTTTTAAGTTTGAAAAAAGTATTTAAAATCCACCTAATCAAGGCAATGCCATTCTTTAAGAAACTGTTACATTGTATTTGTGTGAAAGAAGAAGTGAAATATCAAATCATTTCATCGATGTATAAAGCATATGTTTATAACCTTAAATACATTTACTGTAGTTTAATAATTCTAGATCTGATATTATATTTAAATAATTAGATATCAATGTCCGTTTATTCCAAAAAATCGTCTTGTGACTTTTTAGAAAATTAAATTAGTGAATAATTTGATGAATTTCCCCTTTGTGAAATTCCAACATTACGATGTCTTCCTCTAAAGTACCTTAAATTTGGTTTATTATAAATAATAACTATTTCTCATTGTTAGAAGTTATGAAAAAATGCTAAATATAACTTTTGAAAGAATTTGATATTGAATATGGGAGGAAAAATGAAAAATACATATCCAGGCCGAAAATGAATATCCGGAAAGAGGAGAATTAAAAATATATATATCTACTATAGAAAGTTGTAGAAGGTAAAGGAGAGTGGCGAAAAAAATATATATAATAATTTCTAAAAACTAACATTGTTTAAGGTAAATCATGTGTTTTCAGGGAAATAAAATGAAATGTTCTTACTAAATATAAACTTTTAACTTTTTTTTTAAGTTTAAAAAAGTATTTAAAGTTCACGTATACAAGGCAATGACACTGTTTAAGACACTATTTCATTGTACTTGTGTGAAAGAAGAAGTGAAATATAAAATATTTTATGAATATATTTCTTGTAGTTTAATAACTCTAAATCTGATGTTATATTTAAATAATTAAGTATCTATCGTCCGTTTATTCCGAAAAATCATCATGTAACCTTTTAGAAAATTAAATGAGTGAATATTTGATGAATTTTCCCTTTGTGATATTTCAACAGTATCCACTTCCAATTAGTGTGACAACTTTTGACCTGTCTATGACAGACAATGCAAATCTCTTAATTCCATTTAAATAAACTTTGCAATGGAAAAAAATAGTTTAATAACTAATAGTCATACAATCCATAATCAACGAATCGTACAACCCATAATTAACCAGTGATATAATAAATAGGACTTTTGTTATTTTAATGGTATTTATGATTTGATAGCTGTAAGCATTTAGCATTAACTCGGTTAAAAATGCTATTCTAAAATTTCATAATAGTTTAACATGGCCCGAAAATAATTTCTATTCAAAGTTGAGTGGTAAGTGAAAGTTGTGTGTTGTGTGCACCAGATTTTTTTTCTTTTAGATTTGTACTACAACTAGATTGTTTTATAGCCACCTGTTTTTTTATATATTTTCTTTTTTTTTAGTTTTGTTTTTATGATTAAAAAATTGTGATGTTGGTGTTTGAATTAATTCACAATAGTTTTAATTTAATGATATGTTTTATTCTATTTATTAGTGCATTATCAAAAATAGTTTTTTGTTAATTTTATTTCCTATAGTTCTTGTTGAGAAAGTTATTGAAACAAGACTGTAATCTGAAACACTTTGATCTATTAATATTTTTGTGTTTTATCATCATTTATATGAAAGTGATTCTAAAAAAATGTTTTTCAAAGCTTTGCGTTCAGTATTGACTAATGACAGATTTCTTAAAATAAACTAAAATATAAAGGTTAAGTTTGAAAATTTAAAAATGAGTGTACGCAGTAGGATGTTTGTTCTATAACATTGCCATCTTTTGCCTTATCAGTTAGACCTTGTGCCCTTTCCAACACCATAAATTCAAACACAAATTGGCAAGCAAACAAATTTTATTTTTCATATTCAATGTAAACATAAAATAAATATTAAATGACTCCAACGCTTCAGTGGATTTAATTTATTGCTTATCTACATTTCATTTTTATTTTTGCGATTGTAATGAGAATTATGGCATGATGATCTATGGAAAGTGATTAATAAAATTTTAAAAAATGTTCATAATTTTTTACAAAAAAAAACTTACTATTTCAGATATGATTGTTAATTTATTGTATACGATTTTTAGGAGGACCAATAGATTGGAAGAATCGAAAAACATTTTTGATACTATAGTAAATAACCAATTCTTCAAAGACTCCTCTATAATTTTATTTCTTAACAAAACTGATCTGTTAGCTGAAAAATTGAAATCTGGTGAAACCAGCATCAGGTGGTACTTTCCGGAATTCTCAGGAGATGAAAAAAAGTTGCAGGATGTTCAAAACTTCCTTCTTGAATTTTTCAGGTAAGTTTTAATTTGTTAAAATCAAATAAGTAAATAACGATACATTTAAAATTTCTTTTTTATTATTATTAAAATTAATTGTTTCTTTTACTTTTGAATTCACTTTTTTATTTGTTTTGTTTTTCAACCTGTCTCTTGTATTGTTATTTTTGTAAAAAAAAAAAATATCTTCATAATATTATAGCATCCCTCCTCCATTTTTTTGTTTCTATTGATGTTTATTCTTAATCAAAGAGTATTTCCAAAACATAAGGAATACATCGACAGTATACCTGCAAAAAACTCGTAAGTACGTTGACAATTTTTTAAGTAACAAAAAATGTTAACCCTTCTGAGCTTACAGGTTATGGCAAAGACAAGTGATAAAACTAGTAACCTATAAATGGTACTCTTTTGTTATTGAGAAACCTCTTGTTTTATTATAGAGATGAAAACAAAAATGCCTCATTAAAATGGGACTTATGTGTTTTTACAGGTATATTGTTGATATGATTATCTTTATCTGTATGAGGAGCTATGATTTCAAAAATATATTCCATCAGACTAAAATAACAGATACAGTGAAACCTTTCTTAATGGATGCCTCTCTCTGGAGACAATTAGTTGATTTCCCACTCTAGAAATAAAATACTTTAAAACCCTTTGCAGTGGATTTACATTATTTTTTCTAATATTTTTAGATACAATTAGTTAAATGACACAGGTTGCTAATTTACAGTTTATCCGATGAATCTTATTGAAATTTATATTACATTTTTTTTTTTTAATGAATATGGCTATATGTCATCTTATAATTTTATATAAATATTTTATTATATCCACTAAATGATTGCTAACATTTCTAGTATCCGTTTTAAATAACATTATCTGTAGTACATTTTTAGTTATGTCAATTATTATAGATATTGGTTTGATCTGGGTCCATTCTACCTGCCTCTCTCATTTTTTTGTTAAAGTTAGCTTAAGGGATAGCAACAACTTATTTGGAAATCTTACCATGACATTTAATTTTCTAATATAAGTAATAAGTATAATAAGTAAGGCTCAAAATCGGTTTTGTACCAAATGTAAGCTCCTATCATGCTAAAATACCATGAATGGGGTACCGTTGGATTCAGAATTTCACATGGGGTTAGCGAATGGTATTATCCACTTTTGTTTTTCTTCCTAAAATAAATAAAGTCGATACAAACATTTTGCTAGGCTTCAATACTTGAACAGTGGTAGGTCTGTAGATCGATACGGGACATATTGTATCTTGGAGATTTTGATGCCTGCAGCAAGACGCAGATAGTTCCTCCGGAACTATCGGATCCAGCGTTTTTAGTCCCAAAAACGTACTATTTTCGAGATAACACAAGCCATAGGGTTCGCATCCACATAACCTTACATTAATTGTAGTACTGTCATTGAATACATGTCTCATTTCGTAGATTTGAGGTCTCTATGATCGAGAGATGAGTTTATATTATTTATCGATGGTGTTTTTGATTGGCAAGCCATATCGTCGTTAATTTTTCACCAAATCTCAAGATTGAGCCACCAATTTCGAAGGCTTCCTTCTCCTTCAGGCTGGCAAAATAGTCCAATCACCCCGAAAATTCAGGCAAACAAGTTATGAAAGAAAATAAACTTTATTTGCGAATAACTAAAAAATTACACACTTTTCCCTTAGCTATGCCCATGATTATATGAAAGATTACTAAATTCCCTAAAAGGAAAAAAAAAAATCATCGAAATCAGGGAATTTTTAGCAAAGATACAGCTTACTGAAATTTGTAAACATGTTGCCTCCAAACAAAAATGAAGATTTAAATTAATTTTTGTTTTCTTCATAGATTATATTTATCGATAAAATAACATTTGATTTCTTTATCTTTTAATACGTTGCATTATTTTATGTTCTTATTAATTTGGCATTTGAAAACAATATACTGAGCGAATTTTTCGCACGGGCCTACTGGTATATGTATAATCTTAGAAAAGATTACTCTACCTGCCATTGGGTGCAATGCTTTTTGGATTTTTATTAATATCAGAATTACGTACTTCCCTAGACATTGCTGGGTATATTCACCTACCCGGACTCAATGAGTCAGGGGTTAGGCTCTGTTTATGAAATATTTAATGTTTAATATAAAATATTTAATATAAATGTCCTAACTATTCTGGCTATCCTGTAAGTAGCACAACTTTTTATCTTTCTTCCACACAAGATATATTTTTTTTTTCACCCAGTCGTTGGTTGAAAGTAATACAATCAGGTGATAATCTTTTCACCTTTGTGGTGCTAATCACACTGTGATATATTTTCCTCATTTATTCAAAGAAATTCAAACTCTTAAGCTATCTATCATTTTGTTGTGTAAATTTGTTTGTTTGTTTTTTATAGATCAGTTAAGAGGGAACCAAAGAAACCATTGTTCTACCATTTTACCACAGCTGTCGACACAGAAAACATAAAAGTTGTTTTTAATGCTGTCAAAGATACAATCCTTCATAGGAATCTCGAAAGTCTTATGCTTGAATGAGGAATGACCAAAATATTGAGTAATAAAAGCAACTTATTAGCTTTAACATTAATGAAAAAAAAGTCGATATCTCATTTCCTTAGTGATATTATTATTAATTAGTACATGTCTTTTTTATATATGTAATGTAACATATATGGATTGTAACACATTGTATATTAAATTATCAACTATGTTCTTATAATTTTTTTATGGGTAATTTTTTTTTCTCTTTTGTTCTTTTCTTTTTATTTATTTATTCTGTGTACATATATGAGTTAACATGTTGTGGATGAATTCATGAGTTTTGAGATATATAATTTTTCATTCCAAAATATTTATGATTCATTTATATTTAAGCTTTACTGTCAGAAGTAAAAATGCATTTATAACCACTAAAAATATTTAATCAAATTAAATTAAACATGATTTATCCTTGAATTGTAAGCAGAGTCACGTATTCAATTAATTTAAAATGGTTTCTTCTAAATTGAACAAATTAAATTTTTCCCTTTTTTTAAACAATTGAATCTCCATTTCGGAATATTGATTGATCATCATCAATATTTTTAATTGTTGAAAATCAGTTTAACATTCTCACTTCTTATAACTCAGTTATTTTCTTTCAATTACAGAATCTCAATCCACCTCCGAATTGCAAGTATGCGATCTGAATAAACTGTGATTATTTGTGATTTATTTTTGTTTATATAAAAACATACTAGAATATATCAAAATTTTATTGAGTAAGTTATCAGACATCACATGTAATTTATATCAGTCTTCCTTAATTCTAATTAATTAAAATGATGATCCCTGTCAATGAATTGACAATAAAAATAATGTCTTATAGAGTTATAATTGTTATTTTTGTATTCATATTTTTATGTATATATGTATATGCATACATTTATCTGCTGTCTGACATTTTCTATTATATTTTAATGTACATAAAATCAAGATAATGTAAATGGGCTCATTGTATATATAAAGAGTACTAAGCTGATTAAACTGTATATGAAGGAAGTATACTGTACAAAAATGAATATATACAAGTCTATTTTTTCTCTATATTTTGTATATCGATGAATGTTTGTAAATTTATTATTTTTGCATTGAATTTTGTATATAAAAGAAGTACTAATATAATATTTTTAATATGTATTCTTTTTTACTGACTGGTTTATTGAAAAAGGGAATACCATTTGATTATTGGGACCAATAATGTATTTTGTATTATTTAATAAGAATCATAAGAGATACTGTTATTAAGTTTTGTGGCTAAGTACTAGTTCTATCATCTTGTGATAAAATGTCTGTTTATTCCCTTTTCATTGCAATATAATCAATCGAGTGAACTCAATTATCTGATTATTGTGCTTATCAATGAAGTTGATATTATGAATATAATGTTCACCTAGCTTGCAGTGCCTTGAAACCCAACTTAGGCTAATTACCAAAACAGCAGAACCATTACTGTAGGCCTTGGCCCTTGAAGGGATATTGCTGTTTAAAATTTATATTAAATATTTTATTACTAAACCACCCCTGGGATTACTGATCTATGTATATTTTCTTAATAAATGACATCACAGATAGATCTTTGCATGCCTTAGAAATATAATGCGTTGTATTATATTTTTTTGACCATTGCTCATTTACGATTTAAAGTCAGCCATATTTAAATTTTTGTTGAATTAAATATTTAGTTTGCACAATTAACACGTGCCAATAATTTATTATTTATTGTAAAGTATAATCATTTTATATTAAATATATAGATATCTCATTTTTGTGTAAATTAATAATTATAATACTTATTTAGTTAGAATTTTTGTCTTGTTTATATAATCAGATATTTTATTTTATAGAAAAATATATGTATATTAATTTGTATTCTTGTTGATCCAACTATATGTCTAGTCATTGGATTTTTAAAAAATAATTTCTTATAAAGGTTGTTTAAGTTATGATATTTTCACATCTATTAGTGGTATAAGTGCTCTCTAAAGATTAATTTTCTACGATATTGATTTAATTTTGCAATAAAATGGTACATGTTCTCATTATATACACATATTGTTAATTATTAAGATCTTTAAATTGTTTGACTTATTATTATTATTTTTTTTATGACAATTCTTAATTTTATAAAAATAAAACAGTACAACATAATATATATGAGGTTTATACATGGCATTTAATTTTTGAACTCTTTAACCCTTTAGTTTAAGTAAAACTATATTTGACTGCTAAACAATCAACAAAACTGTTGGTAATTTTTACTTATATATGTAATATATAGTAAGGGTAAGTATTGCTATCGTGAAAATTTTTGAATCTTAGTTTTCAACGGAAATACATGTTTTGGGGTACCCTGAGTCCAAATATGCAAGTCCCGAAAAAAAGTCGTTCAAAACTAATATTACGTATAAATCGGCTAACCGGAAGTGCCACTTTATATCACTGGTGAAACATATTTTTACAATTTTCTCAAAAAGGGTTCTAACTTTTTTTATTAAACTCGATGTATCAGTGTATAATTAAGCGGTCTTTAATAACAATTAGGTCTTATCCCTGTTGACCTCACTTTACAGGGCTTAAATGCCCAATGTTCATGGGCGTCTTCCTCTTAAGTACCTTTAATATGGTTTATTTTAAATAATTAACTATCTATCATTATTAAGAGTTATAAAAAAATGCTAAACATAACTTTTGAAAGAATTTGATAATTGAATGAAGGAGAAAAACATAAAAATGCTTATCTAGGTCAAAAATGAATCTCCGGAAATACTAGTCAGAAAGTATACATATAATATATCGGAAAGCGGAGAATTTTAGAAAAAACATCTAATACAGAAAGTTGTAGAAGGTAAAGGAGAGTGGCGAAAACATGATAAATTTGTGTAAGAAAACTAACATTATTTAACTTAAATCACATGTTTCCAAGGAAATTGAATGAAATTTTCTTACTATATGTAAACTTTTAAAATATTTATAAGTTTGAAAAATTTATTTAAAAAACACCTAATCATGTCAATGACGTTTAAAAAACTATTTCATTGTACTTGTGTGAAAGAAGTAAAATATAAAATCATTTCATGGATGTATAAAGCATATGTTTATAAACTTAAATACATTTAATGTAGTTTAATAAGTTTAGGTCTGATATATTTAAATAATTAGGTATCAACGTCCGTTTATTCCGAAATATTGTCATGTAACTTTTTAGAAAATTAAATTATTGAATAATTTGACGAATCTTCCCTTTGTGATATTCCAACAGTATCCACTACTATTTCATTGTACTTGTGTGAAAGAAGAAGTGAAATATAAAAATATTTCATAGATACGTTTATAACCTTAAATATATTTATTATAGTTTAATAACTCTAGATATCTAGATAGATCTGATATTATATTTAGATATCTATCATCTGTTTATTCCAAAAAATCATCATGTAACCTTTTAGAAAATTAAATTAGTGAATAGTTAGATGGAATTTCCTTTTGTGATATTCCAACAGTATCCACTTACAATTAGTGTGACAACTTTTGACCTGTCTGTGACAGACAATGCAAATCTCTAAATTCCGTTTTAGTAAGCTTTGCAGTGGAAAATAACAGATTAATAACTAATAGTTGCCCATAATAAACCGGTGATATAATAAACAGGACTTTTTTTATTTTAATGGTATTTATGCCTTGATAGCTGTAATTTTTTAGCTTTAGATCAGTTAAAAATGCAATTAAAAATTTTATAATAGCCCAACATGACCAGAAAATAATTTCTATTCATAGTTTTATTTTATGTTGGTTATATTTAACCACTCAATCCTACATTGCTTTAAACCATGAGCTATTACTATATATGGGATATTCTGTCAATTAATTCAGAATCGTGTCCTTAGGAGGTTGCAACTTAAGTGTGAAATTTTTTGTATGCCGACTGACTTCTGTATAACTGGACACTTTCAGCTTGGAGTTCAATAATTTTTACGTTTGGGATCAATTCATTTTCCCTGTTTAATTTAAATTTAACATGTCCTACAACTTTTTTTAAATATTTTCACGATTATTGAGTTACTTTCTTTACGTTAAAGCAGTTAGGCTCCAGTAATATTAGCTATTTAATTTTATGAGAAATAATAGGATCAGTTAATACAAAAAATTACGATTCATATCTTCCATAGGTTTGATTGATTTTTCTTTGTTTATGAAATAGCCTACCAAATATTTTCTCAGTTTGATATATTTATTTTTCATGATTAGCAAAAACTGCAGGAAGTTTCTGACAAACTGGAGAATAACTTGATTTACGTTTACTTTCAGTTTTAATGTTTTCCAGTTAATTTTAATTGCTATTTTTAGTTTAGTTTTAATATATAGTAATATAAGTTATATATAATATATATAGTAAATAATAATATATATAGTAAATAATAATATATATAGTAATATATATATAGTAAATAATAATATACTTACTATATATATATATATATAGTAAGTAATATATATATAGTAAATAATAATATAAAAATAATAATATATATAGTAATATAAGTTAGTTTTAATATATAGTAATCATTCACAGTTATATTTTCCTCAACTGGCTATTTTCATATGAAGGTTTACGTTATTGTTATTTTTTATGTTTAAATAAGAAAAAGCAATGAAAACATTTCATGTAATCACTGGAGAATCTGGATGGACCTTTAGCTGCCATAGGCTATACAATATTGCTGAACCCTCTTGATAGAGTGAGTAGTATGAAATAATTTTTAAAAAATTGAGGAAAAATAGTAGCATTTTATTCCCTTTAAACATTTTTTATATTCACTATCAAAGCTTCTTTTTAGCTGCACTGAATGATTTTATCTGTGATTGCTTTGCAATTTATACTAATAATAATCTTGGGTTGAATATGAGTGAGTATTTTCTATTTATTTTCCTGATCAGCATTTTATTCTCCTCACCTTCAATTCGATTTTTATTTTATTCATGGCTTCAATTTGAGCAAGATCGGGAATCACTATTTAGATGTATCTCTTTAAATGTAGTTTTATCCATTATCATTAGAATTCTTTTTTAAAGGGGATCACAAAAAAAAGTTTCCTTCTCACCAATATATGTTCATATTCGAGAACAATGACAATATGTTAACATCTGTATGTGTATTAAGGGTCAGCAGGCATGAGGACTTTCATTTCCTTCACTGAAGGTGGCCATCCATGGACAAATGTTTGGGTTACTACTATTGGGAGTCCTGAAAACCACAGAGCTCAATTGAGGAGCATGGGGATATATAATTATCATTCTTATGAATGTGTAAGTCCTTTAGCGAAGACATGCTTTGGGGAAGGGAAAATAATTTTGAAAATTCTGGGACTTCTTTATGAACTCAGAAACTTAGGGTTTACTGGTAGGCCCCTTTCCATTTTTTTTTTTAACATATTACTGTTTTTTAATAAACTACCTACTACTGACATAATTAATTTAAATGGAAATAATAACATCACAGAATTATTTTGACTACCAATGTTTTTATTCATTTTTGTAGAATTCTTCTTGGTACTTATTACTTAAGGTATTAAAAAAGTCAAGAGGTAAAGAACAAAATTGTGCAATCTTAAAAAATTAATATTATTATAAAAAGTTTTGCACAGCTTAATCTATATTATAAAAGATACATACTTATGTACTTTAGTTTTTAAACTATTGCATGGAAAACTGACATAAGCACATGAGTCATTTTCTGAGCCAACTCTTCTTTAATCTAAATATAAGATTATTTAAGGATGTTATAAACATACTTATTGGTAGAATAAGCACAATTTATTGCTTTGTCCAAAATTATATATACACTTTTTTTTTTTTTGTGGTCCAAATTACTTAGGATGTTTTGATTTTCTTTCAATATTACAAAAAAAAAAGTAAAAATATATTTTTTATAAATAAAAAAAAATTTAAATAAAGGCCCACCAAATTATTAGATTAGTTACATCTTGTTTAAATATATATTTTTTTCTTAAAATGGTCTTTCTTACCATACCCCTATTTATTTATAATGCAGGACATTCATAAAATTTATTAATGTTTCGGTACTTTACTTATATCTTCAGAACTTTTTTTTAAATGCTCCTATTCATATTTCCAAAATATGAACAGGTAATGATAAATAATAAATATATTGTAATAGAAAACTAATGAATAGCAATAAGAAAGTCTTAAGCTCATGCCAAAATAGGCCTACACACACATCACAGTTATTCTCATTTTTTATAATACATATTATTTTGCTAGTTTTTACTAACATTTTGATTAATATAGCTAATTTTAAAATTATTTTTCATCATTTGCTGCAGAATGCCTAAAAAGAAAATACATTGTGTACTCGATTTTTATTGACTTGAATTAACACTTATTAATGATAATTTGAATGAACTTGGTAAGATATATGTTGTTTTTATAGTAGTTAATATATTTTTCAAGTTTTATACAAAATTATTATGGTTGGGGTTGCAGACTCCCATTGCAACGTTGAGAGAATGCTCAAATAAAAATAAAAGACCTTCATTTTATTTTGTGTCATTTCGGTCAAATATAACCATATTTGGATTTGTGGCGTTGGTGTGTGATTACTCAATGAAAACATCATTTATAAATCTGTACAGAGAAGTTCTGATTTTGGAGTCGGAATGTCGGGGGTATAAAGATCAATAGTTTATGTGACGTATTCTTACTTCTTTACACGGATGATTTAATAATTGAGGCTGATAGCTATACAGATGTTAAAAATTCTGAACGGTAAAAAAGTTAGAGGTGAACACAAAAAAAACTAAATTATTATATTTCCACAAGAGAAGATGCAAGAGGGTGGGAAGATTATTTTATGAGAATACTGAAATTGAAAGGATTCCTGAGTACATTTACTTAGGAGTGCCATTCTCTGATACTGGCTTATTTTATAGAGCCACTAAATACTTTCAATCGAAGATTAGGGCAGCAATAGGATCTGTTATTTCAATTTGTGCTAAATCAAAGCTGAGAACGTGAGATAGTAGAATAAAAGTAAATGATTCAATTGAAATTAGTATCCTTCACTATGATGTTCAACTATGGGGTCTTAGGTATATTGATAAACTAGAAAGTGTAAGCTTAAATTTTTATAAACGTTTATTCTCTCTAAATAAAAATTGTTCCTTCTGGTTAATGAGATTGGAATTTAAAATACTTCATTGCACAGTTGTGATACTGAAATTGGCGCTGTCTTGGGTTTTAAAAATGGAAAATGATAGATTCCCTAAAATTTGTTTTAATAAATTAAAAGAAATACATATTAGTGGCAAAGGGAGTCATAAATTTAATTGGTTCAATCAGTTAAACACTCTGCTGTGTTCTGTAAATAAACAGTTCATTCTGGAATTAGAAGACGCAGGTGCGTTCCAGCTAGAGATGAATGAAACAATAAGCCTGTTTAAAAGCCATATAGAGGAACTTGTTAAACAAAAACTGATTATCCCTACTAGGTACAGCCCAATATATCTCGATATGTATACAGCTAGTGATAAGTATCAGCCTTATCTCATATTAAATGCCCAGTTTCATATGACGAAAACACTAATACAGATTAGGTTATCTGGAAATTATAATATTAAATTAACGCCTAATAATAGTTATTACTATTTCAAGCCAAAAGAAATTTGCACACTTTGTAACCTAAGTGAACCTTCATATTTTTGTCGGGTGTCCAGTGCCCGATTTATGCTCTGACAATGAAGTCTTCCTCAAGAACCTGTTTTATTACACGAGGCAATGTTGCAGATTGAGATCCTTTATTTTCAATGAATAATAACATTACATATATTTCTCCAAAACTTTGAAGTTTATTTACTTTGTTCTGCTTGTGGTATTTATTATTCATGCATGAAATATTTATATACATATCGTGTTATATTGTATCATTTGCTATTTACTATTGACATGTTTATATGTTATATATTGTATACCATGCCTCTATCTATCTTTATTACTAGTGCTATTTATTACTATTGGTCATTTTATTGCTTGCTTTATTCAGATGTATTATGGTATTATGTGGGGAATTATATTATATTTCATTGTTTATACTTAAGCATACAGTCAGATGCTTGGTTGTTATCAGGAGAGGATGTTGTCACTGAATCCTAATGAATTTTACTTTGTTTATAAGTTTTAAATGTTTTTCATATTAATTTGTTCATTGTTATCATTATAGCTAACTATATTTGTATGGGGTATTGTCCAAAAACAAACAAATAAAATAATAATAATACAGAGAGGTTCTGATGAAGGCCTACAACTTAGGCCAAAACATTGTTACAAAATAAAATATAAATCTTTTATTTTTATTTGTTTGTTCTCTCAGACAATAATTTCCAACCAACTTCCTAACCATATTCTCTACAGTCAGCAATTTCTTCACCACAATAAAATGATTAGATTGAACAATATAAAACATACACACACTGTAGGATAGTGGCTAGGCTCATCTCACCTGTCAAATTTATCTTAAAGAACAAATATAATTAATCAGTATTTTTGAAGATAAACAGTTTAAAAAATAAATTAAAAAGTAATCTGGCCATGAAAATTCCAGAAGGTCCTTTGGTTCAACTCTCCTCAGGGAGGTCATGATGTTTCTTGACCAATGGTTGTGCAAGGAGGTGATTTGAAGAATTAATTAACTAAAGAATTATAAAAGAAATGAGTCCTAGTAATTCAGCTGTAAAATTAAAGGAAATAGATAGGAATATTCATGGAAGAAGAAAATAAAATAAATCAATTCTTATATAATCTTTAATTTATAATGCTGGAATACACAAAACACAATGTAGCAGTATTATGTTTTCTACAATTTAGGCTTAAAAAGCCATTGATTGGTAGTATACAATGCTATCTAACAATGAGTTACAAAACAAAAATAAATACAGAAAAATTGAACCATATTTGGATTTGTGCTGTTGATGTGCGATTACTCAATTGTGCCAAAAAAGGAAGACATCATTAATAAATCAATAAATCTGTACTTATTATACAGAAAATAAAATCTATACAGTGTTAATATCATTTACAACAATGGCAGAATCAACCCCAGATAAATCATTTAAATCTTAATATCACTTACATTGCTTTAAATAAAAACATCAACTGTATATTCGAGTTAAAACAAATGAGTATTTCACTTTCAATAATAAAACATAACATCTCCGACAAATTATTGATCTGCCTTATTGATGGAAAAAACAAAACAAATTCTGAGATTGAGTCGTTGTGCTGCCAGGTATGTTAGCGTTTGAGCATTAAATAGAGGGCTCTTTGGTCTCTGGTGTGTCACTTAATAAATGAGATTCTAAACTTGTGAAGAATTATGTAGACAGGTATGCTGTCGGATCTTATAAGCGATTCACATCAGCTAGTATATGCAAACCGTTCACAACATGGATATAAGTAAAGGTGATCAGTTACGACTAATAATATTCTTAGATAGTTCTCGAGATATTGGTCAAAAAGATTTCATCAGTACAAATCTAAATAATTTAATAAATATAAACAATATAAAGAAGAAGTCAAGTATAAATAGAAACAAGGGATCCATATCAAATCACCTTTACTTTATAAATACTATTACAATACACAAAGTGTTATGTAGCCTTTCTTAAGACTAAACATATATGATAAGACTGATTATGTATATATACATATATCGATAATTAATATGTACGTACTTATCTTTAACTGCTAAGCTATAAACTAGATTCATGAACAACAAGCACTCATTTTAGACCTCACCGCTCAAATTCAATATTATTAAATCACAAAACTTGAGCGATGAGTGTCAAATAATTGGAAAATGCAGGAGTAATCCTTTCACACGCTTTAAACTTACATATTTTTGTACAAATATTTATATATGTATATCTATATTTAATTTAAATACATTACGCCTATACAAAGTTGTGAATAGATGGTGAAGGAATATAATAACTAAACGACTCCTGCATTCTCTTACAATGTCATAAAACTAAAAAAAAAAATAATAATAAAGATAATGCAAAATAATAAACAGCTGCTTATCATCTCCTAATCTATGCCTCTTTGAAAGAACTCAAAAGTTTTTTTTTCTAAATCCAGTCATCTAAATAACACTAAAGAGAGCTGAGGAGATATGTGTGACTCCAAAGGAGAGATATAGTAATAATGCTAAGAATTAATTATTAATACAATAACTATATAATTAACTTCAGTTTCTATTAAAAAATTGTATAAAAATGTTAACAGGAATTGTAGGATAATACCAGTTATATTTTAGATACATACAAATATTTTTAATGTCTTTTAAATAATTTGAAGTACTCAAATGAAGAGGCTTTTGTCTTTTTTGTACAAAACTAAGGGCTCTGCATATTTACAAGACAGGCTCTAGTTAATGTCATGTCGAGCTCCATTATTGTACAGACAAGACAGAACAAAAAGATAAGTTTTCTATTAATTCTTATTCTTCAGTTTTTTTTTTGTTTTTTTTTAATGTATATTTAAGAAGAACAGGGTTCCGCAAGCTCAATTTGAGATTCTGCAGAGTATGTACTTAAAAAAATAATATATATATTTATATATTTACACACAAAAACATACGTAATCAGAAAGAAAAAAAAACCTTAATAGCAATAATAACAAATATAATTAAAATAATTTGTTGATGGGTATGAGTTAAGTGAAGGAATATGATTTTGGTGTTATCATTCGACCGTTAGGTCTTTTCTCTAATCTGTATTTTTACATCTATTATATTCTGAAATATCAATAGGTATAAATATATACTTGAAATATATATATATGGATGAAAATTCATTTTGGGGTTCACAGATATGAATGCCTAAATAGCTTGAAACTGAGAAAAGAAAGTAAGTAATATAGAATAATTTTTTTTTTCAATTTTTTTTTTCTTTTTAACTTATTACACAATAATCATTATGTATAAACCAGCATAAGAAAAGACAAAAAAATGTGTGATAAGAGTTCCTAATGATGTAATACTTACATAGCTTTTGGGTTAATGTAATTAATTGTAAATTGACTTTTATATTTACAAACATTTGTAGAAACAAGTAGTAGACGGCTGATTTGTTGCACTCAGTATGGGGTAAACCTGTTGTAACCACTTCTATATACCGCAGCCTATTCAAAAATAAATAAAAAATTTTTAAAATGATAATGACATAGGACATTGGTATTTAATTAAAACATTAGTTCTACCAAACCACGCCTTTTCTTAATTCCAATATTTATATCATACCTTTAATACCGTAAGATGGGGTAAATTTGGGACGAGTTTTGAAGTTTTAAGCTGCTTCTATCTTTATTTTTAAGTTAAAATGCTAAAAAAATTATTAATATGTAAAGCAAGTCTTCCTGCTACAAAATATGGCAAAACAATAACTCTAGAAACAAGAGTATTTTACTAAAAAAAAATTTTAATTTGTCCTAATCGAACCCCTTTGATAGAGATAAAATTGGGACAGTGTGTTATCTCTATTAGAAATGGCAGGAAACATGATTTTGTACCAATGTTACGCCACAATATTCTATAGGCTCATTATTTACATAAGAAAATTGGTATATACCAATTTTATCTAATAATACTATATTTAAGAGCACATGTGGACAATAATGCATAATTTAGTAAACAATAAAGCCTTGAAAATTTACTGAAAAAAGATTATTCAAACATTTTGCACAATTTAGTTTTTGTTAAGTGAAGTATACAGATCGCTGTAAACTTGCAATTCTTTCACTTTGAAAATTTCTGGTCAGCCAATTAGTCCTTTGAGTAGTGAATTTCATCAGGCGTTGAAGGCCATTTCCAATTAGAAGCCGATTTCTTCATGTCCGATATTAATACCTCGGTAATCTAATGTCAAAGCAGGTTTTTGCAGACTGAACCAACACAGTGTATCCACCACTAACTAAATTTTACCTGCCGTCCCAAAGTTACTCCATCTTATGGTATTAAATTTTGTTTCCTTTAATCTACAATTTACTAAAACTTACAAAAATATCAATGTATTTGTGAGAAAAACAGATAAGGGTATGAGAATGATAAATTTATAATTAATGAATTTTGATGATTTTATATTGTTTAAAAAGTCCTAAGAATATCAACTAAGAACATGGGAACACAATAAATCACATTTGCAAGAAACAAAACACTATTTTTTGAAAATTTTGGCGACCACGTTTAAAAGTTTTAACAGCCCGAACAAGTTATAAGTAGTTGTTAAAAGATATATACACCTTCATATAAAAAATTGTTCAAGATGAGTTCAGTTTTATCCTAGTTATTGTCTTGTTGATATTAATAAAAAAGGATAATTTCAATATTAAAAAAATTATTGCTTATATTTTCATATACACAAAAAAAACAAAAAACAATTAAACAAACATATTAAAAATGTATAGGAATATTTTTTAAAGAAATGTCAGCGAGTAAAATTGAATGAAAAATATTTTCAAAGTGTTATGATATCAATAAATTATTACTTTCAAAGAAACACAATTATAATTCAAATTAATTACTTGTAAGATATTTTTAAAAACAAAATGTTGATCAATCATAAATTACTGATACTTTTATTTATTTCAACAGTACTAATATTAAACAGTTCGAAAGTTCTAATTATAAAAACAGAATAGACAATCAATTTGAAAAGATATTTTAGTTTTAAGATAATTAATTTTAAAAATAATTTACTTTTAAACAAAAAGAGCGTTTAAAGATTAAGACAACGGCTGTGAAGCAATGTTTGTGATTTTAAACAACTGTTATTCTAAAGATAAATTGTTCCAGAATAAAGTTCTTTTATATTCTACATATTTCATAATTACTAACCCCATATCCTGCCACAGGTCCTATTCCATGACCTAAGTAAGGGTCAGCATATTCACGGCCATAGCTGAAATAGAAACGATAATTTAGCTTAATTTTATAAAAACATAATATTTTATAGTTTTAATTATTAAAACCATTAAAAATTAATATGTATTTATATTGTATAACATGATATGATGATCCTGCTTGTCGGCGTTGAACCTGTTAATAAAAATTTACTTAAAAATAACATTTTTTATTTTATTGAAGTTTAGGGAGTAAAATAGAAAAAATAAAAGAATATTGAATAGGAGTTATAATGTCAGAAATATACGAGTCTAGGTGGTTTAAAACAATTAAGTGTTTTTTATTTTAAGCAATTACTGTAGATAAGTATTAGAGAGTATACACGACAAAAAAAAGACTAGTACTATAACCCACTAAGAGTTTTGGGCACAATGCTTTGTAAGGAAGTACTTTTTCTTAGTTTACCCTTGTGTGAGGAGATGATTTGACCGAAATCACCTTCAATCGCCATAGTTTTCCCTTTAATTAAGTATCCAATTAATATAGGTTGGTTAAATTAATAGATTCTTAAAATTTCAGAGTCCATCTATGACTGGTGTATCAGTATAAACAATTATCTTCCAAAGCCAGACTCAAACCTGGGACTTGGAGCATAGGAACAAGGTGTCTTACAAACTTAAGGACCATACTCCTACATACAGCTATAATCCTTAAGAATCAAATCAATAAATTTAAAACTTTGGATTTATAATTTTACTATAGAATTGTCCTATGAACTGAACAATTGAATCTAATTTATTACAGTTTATGGATTTATACCAATTATCATTAGCCATTTCAACAGACTTATATAATCTGTTATAAAATTAATAAATTAAATATTAGTATAAAGGAAAATATGGAGAAGGTACAGCAAAACATTTTTAGACCATTTATGATTTAATAACAAATAGAGCTGATAACTTATTTTTTCTGTAAAAGACGGATGTTCTAAGAAATGTATCCTTAAGGTCTTTTTTGATTGTCATAAAATTTTTTTAAAAAATCTACAGATAATACAGATTAGAATATTTTTCAATTAGAAATTTAATTTTTGACAAAAAGAGATAAAAGCTTACTACTGAAAAATATTGACAACTAATGAAAATTAATGGCGATTATTAATGCTGTCCAACTAACTCCAACTTTTCAGTGGTTTAATGAATCGCTGCAAGTTAGTAAAGTTAAGCAAAAGTAATCTTTTAAGCCTTAACTTGGCAAGCAAATCTTTTTAAAACTTTTTAATGGGATAATTTTTAATGTATAATATTAATATTGTTTTCAAATTCCATTACTTCAATTTGCGGGTGTGTCTACAGGGATGCAATGCCAAGTTAAGGGTTGAACTCCTCAGGGTTTAGTTAACAAATCGCTGCAAGTTAGTAAGGTTAAAGAGCAATTTTTATTAACACAGCACAAAAATCTAATGATTTACTTATTAATCACAAAACGAAATCACAGTGGACTTTTTAATCACTTAAACACAGAAATGTTGGTTATTTAAAATTTTGAATAACTCAAAGAATCATCTGAAATATAATACTAAGTATTATCAGATGTAAAATAAGATTGATCTACCTGATTAATGTTTTTGAGAACAGATTTGGAAAAAAAAATTATGTTATAAATATTAAAGTTCCAAAAGATAGGTGTTTGAATTGAAACTACTTAGTACTTTCAACATTTAATATGTAACTAATAGATATTAGTTACATATTAAAATCTGAAAAGAGTAAAACCACGGGATTTTTGTGCAACATAAGCAGCCGCAAGCATTAATTAAATCGCTTGGCTATACCATCAACTTTCATGGTATGTTTGTATAAACTAATAATTGAATCATGAAGTGAAAAAAGGAAACTAGGTTGTACAATCTTTTAATCAGGAACAAGAATCATCATTAGGTTGTTATAGCTTATAAGTAAGCTATTATATCGGAAACAAGATTTTGAGACCTGTACATTTTTCATTAATTGGAGAAAGTATTGCATCTCATTTTGTCATAGATCAATGATGAAGTGATTACTTCATTTTAATCCTGTGTTCAATGTGCATCAATTTGATACATTACCAAACACATAGGGTCTTAAAACAGAAAAGATGAACAACACCTTGTCTATTTGTTGTGCCCCAATACATCAAAACCCAAAAGGTGTAATAGATCTACAGGGATGTATTTAAAACAATAGTTGGAGACATAAAGGAGAATGGTTTGGATCCACTGAAATCTTGAAGATTAAGCATGATGAATGTTGCAAATAGAGAACTAGGATTTGGATAAGAAAATTAATTTAAAGGAGTATTCTTTTGAAATACTACAATCTGTAGATGCTTCTACTAGGAAAAATTAAAGAGATGAAACTAAAAGAGATTTATGAGGATATGGAGATTATTATCTTCCAAGGAAGAGAAGAGAAAGATTTATCAGTACTAAAAGTAGGCTAAAAAACATACATCATACCAAATTGGGATCAGTTATAAGTTAATCAGCAAGGGCAGGCTAAGAAATGTTGAGCAAAGTAAGGAAAAACTTATCAGGTCCAGTACGAGGTTAGTTAAACCATGGTAGAATATAAGAGGTAAGGAATAAACTGAATCTTAATTTTTTTTTTTAAAACAGTAATTTTATCACAATGGATGAGAGAATGGATTAGGTTAGGATTAGAATATAATAGAAGCTGAGTGTTAACAGCTAGGATAAAAAATCAATGTAAAGCAATAAATAAAACAAGAAGTAGCAATGTTCATGTCTAGATGTTAAAATATACTATACTGCACACTTCTTTTAAAGGATATCATCAGGTAACTGCTGAGGTGGTTTGGATATGCTCACAGGATGAGTCGAGATTATTAGAAAGACCTAGACTGTTAACAAACAAGGTTTATGTTGATTAGTTTGGAAAAACCTGCACCAATGGATATAATAGCTTGCTCGGGGCCAAACAGGACTGGCTCTGATGGAGAAAAAGGGAAAATGGAAATTTCCCAATTCTGCTAAGACTAGATAATATAGAATGGGTTCGAATAAAGCACTTGATGCATGTGCTCAGACTGACCCCGCGACAGTCGCATAACCAGCAACTGGTTGAGCTGCTGCTGCCGCTGCGCCATATGCCCTAGCTGCAACTGCTGTGTAACTCGCTGCTGCTGCGTAACCAGCCTGCTGAGCTGCTGTTGAAAGGGCTCCTGGTGCCTTTAGCAGTGGAGACGCTGCTGCTGCTGCGGCGACCTGATACAAGTGAAAAATTTAATTTGGTTAATACAAAAAATAACATTTAATTACTTTTTATCACAGTGAGTTCTTGTTAGCATATTTTTTTAATTTTATAGATAAAATTTTATTTTAATCTAATCCTCTTTCATGTTACTTATTTGTGACAATATTAATTAAAATCATCAAAGAACTTACAATGTAAGAAGGAAAAATGTGAGACTAGCGAACAGTTAAAAGGACCATAGAATTAGATGAAAATGAAATATTAACTAATGAAAAAATAAATAAAAGGACAGAAAAGAAAAAAAAATTAACATTTTCCTTCAAAAGTTCATTAAGAATGAAAACTGAAATAAAAAAAATATATATATTGAATTATTAATTCAATTCTAAATGTAGAAATATATTTATTGCAAAAAAAACTTCAGTCATATTTATTATCATGCTCATGCGTACCGCACACTACATGTTTTGTTTTCCAATGAAATATAAATGCTGGTTGCATATCAACCATACCTGTCAAATAAATACTAAATTTAAAAAAACAGTATTTTTAATTATTATGCCATATATAATTATACGTAAAATATAATTCCTTGGTTTGCACAAAAATTCTTTTATTGCGCTAAATTTAAATATTTTGATCAATCTCTACCGTTATTTAGTACTTTGATTCAATTCAATAATTGTTTTTTTTTAAACATTACAAATCAAGTATATATTGTAACAAATTTCAAATAAGCTAACTAAATTAAAATGAGTATTAATGCTACACTGAATAAGCCCAGAGAACACTCTGCATTTAATTACCAATAAACTGCACAACACTTCATAATAAAATAACACATTTAATATTTACCTTAACCTAACAATTTGAACAGCAATAATTTCAATGCCTTAAGTTTCAATTCAAAATTTAAATAGTTTAATTCAATACTTACAGGTAATATTTTGTGTAGCTACTATAATATACGCATAGAATCATGCACATGCAATCCACTTTTTATAACACACAACGCTTTTCAGCGGATAATCTAAAAATATTTAAGTTGAAGTAAGATTATTCAGAACCGGCATAAAGAAATACCTTCTCTTGTAAAGGTATCAAGTAAACGTCAACAAAGTTGACATATGCAATTTAAGCACAATATTCCACTGGAAAGTACAATACACAAATGAAAAAGTTGCGGTGCACATGCTCATGCAAAATTTTGAATCAAAATTTTTAAGATGAGAACATCATATGATAGTATGTGACTTAAGTTTTCCTCAATTAAAGAAATGCAGTGGACCCTCATTTTACAGTATATTCAAATATAGTGCATAAGTAGATCAAGGCCGAATTTGTGATAAAACAATGATTAAGTTAACTATAAATCCATATATTCCTATTCACACATTGTAGAACTAAGAAAGAGTCCAAGATTATATATATATATATATATGTATATATGTATATACATATATATATACACAATGCTTCCAAATGTAAAAACTCAACCCAAATAACCAGGTTAACAATAATAAAATTTTATATTAATTACGGAGTAGAGAAAAGGTGAAGAATGTAGTAATTTCTCCATTTCTTTAGATAAGCTCACAGAAGTTAACAGAAGAACATTTTCGAAGAATAACCTCCTTAAGTGGTCAAACTTTTTGCATTTCGTAACCAATATCTGTCTAACAACTAATTGAAATTAAAACCGACAATGCAGAAGAAGATTTTGAACCAACAATGATAGCTAACCATGATGAAGCAATGGCTACAATCAATGTCTTATTTGCTTGGATGGAGACATTTATCGCCTATCTGATAATCAAAATCAACACAAATTGGTTTCTCAAAAAATCAACAGAAATCAGAGAGCTAATGAAAAAAAAAAATCCTTTTTTCATTAGTTATGTTTTAAATTGAACCTAACCTAACTTCATTTTAATTTTATTTCATAACATTACCGTATTTTAATGGTTCACATTTTCCTCCCCTAACAAGGGTCCACTGCAATTACTGCTTGATTACTATCATACATTGGATATATGAATAATTTTGATAAGGACAAATTTTAATCTCCAAGAAATGGTATCTATAAATTTAATGTATTATAAAAGATAATAACTAAAACAAAACCAAATCAATATCCTAACTTTTAAATTTTCTCAGAGAGAAAACTTACAGAAAAAATATTGCATTATAAATGAGCTTAGAAACCATAAAAGGAAAATGTTTTACACTAATATACCAATTAGTCTAAGCTGTGAGAATAACAAATAATGAAATATTAGTTATTTCCTATGATAATAAATAATAGATCTTCTGAAACACAAAATAAATGCGTTGAAGTCTTCTTGCAGTTCTCTGGTATTCTCGGGCTAATTGTTATGATTACTGTTGTTGTGGCTGAATGTAACGCACCTCCAGATTAGATATTCATTAAAAATCTTTTGTAATAAGTACAGGAAAATCAAGACAGCGATTGTTGATTGAAAGGAACAAATGTCTCCTTTTTTATCATTCATTACATAAACCAATATTAAAAATAAATGTCAATGAGCAAATATTTGCATAATAAGGAAACGTCTATGACCTTTTTTTAAAGTATGAGTGACGACTAAATCTTAAAATGAGATTAATATAATTTTTATAGAAATTTTGGCTTATACTGTTTAGAACTGAATATATTTAGAGAAATACAGATTTGACAACTATTAATTCAAACAAATCTTTATTTAAGAAACATAAACAGGACAAAATTATTTTATTTTGCTTTCTTCCATTCGGAAATTCATCAGTTAGTAAATTATAACATAGTTAAATCCACTTTGGTTATTTTGATAAAGTAATTTTGTTTAATTAAACATACGTCCAATATTCAATTTTAAAAACAAAAAATAAATATATAGAAAAAAGTACTGAAATCTATAGAAAAAAGTTGTGAACATTAATTGCATATTACAAAAAGACTATGACTATATTTTTATGATTTCAGCACATTTAAATCCATTTTTTTGCTGATTGGTTGTTAAAAGCTTAGAAAAGACATCATTTTTGATCCTTCTGAAGTCAGCAGCAGCAGATAAAGCTGGATGGCTGAAGCTCCTAGAGGAAGCCAACATTCACTCCCAAATTGCCCACAAGATAGATGGGGTAAGGGTTCTTAAATTGGGAGATGCAATAACAACAATTATTTTAATATTTAATATTTAGGATTAAAATTATGATTTTTGTTACAAGAAATTTAATTAATTCATAATTATATATTTATTAACAACAGAATAATAATTAAAATCAATTAAGTTCAAGATAATATTTGGAGAAAATTTTATATATATTACACCGAAAATGATAAAGGTTCTACAGTATTATTTCTATAAGGATAACTGTGCTACAATTTGTTTTGACAGATAAGGATATCGTTAAATAGTTTTAGCTCAACAAGGGTGCCACGAAAAAAAAGTTTTAGAACCGCTGAGTCAGAGAATGCTTTTGATAAATAATACAAATTTGGAAATTGTTTTTCTAGAGACTAAAAATTTAGTTCTACATTTTTTCTCCCTTAAAAATTAGTGTCCTGATAAATAATTTAATACTTTGGCTACTTTATAGTTCTACAACTTTGTCTCTGTTTTTTAAAAAGTTTTTTACTTATAAGAATCTGGTCTCTACTCATAATATATAATATAGTCACCACTTCTAGGTTGTTAGCCAGATTTGGGTGGCGGGGATTGCTTAGGTCATTTTTTGGGGGGTTTTCACTTATTTCAGGAAAATTACAAATTATATTTTCATAGCCAAAGACGTATAATTTTTTTAAATAAATGAGTACATAGTAATTATATATATATATATAGTAAGTATCTAAGTATCTAAGTAGTGATTTAGATGTATAAAGAATTAGAGCAATATAATAACGTATATCATAAAAATTAAGTTATAATTGATTTAACTTTTGTATCGTTGAAGATAAACTAGTAAAATGATATATATTCATGAAAAAAATTATTATTAATTAATTATTAATTATTAAAAACTATCTATAACACGACTTAATCCTAAAATGAAGCAAGCAAGAGGTAAGGGAAAGCTAGTCAAAAACATGAGGTTTAAAATTATTTTTTTCCAAATTAGCAATAGTTGAGGACGGATATCTCAGAAACTAATTGAGGTAGCGAAAAAAGGTATATAATCAATCGTATTGCAAATTTTATCAGCTATAATTTTGAATGTAGCGTCTTTGTCGATGCAATGGATAGTTGTTCTGATACATGCGAAAATCCCTCCCCGTCATCTGGCTCACCACCTAGAAGTGGGGACTTTTAGTATGTTCACCTCTTTAATAATACTACCAATGTCCCAAAGTCAAACATTGTGTCCCATCATTCCCTTTTCGAGCATTCATTGACTGGACTAATACTGCAGATGAGGCGTTAATTTATTGGTGGGGTGCTCAAAATACTCAAACAAATTTACTTGAATTATTATATAATTAAACTTTTTATATCACCAATAAGTATTTTTATTATTAATTTATTACCTTAACTCCTGAAGGTCATTAGTAAAAATTATTTTAAGTATATTTAAAACGGATGGTAAAATTAAGTTCAATATGAAACTAATCACTTATTATTTTTTAGTATCTATTTATTTATTTATGTTGCTTTTTAAATTTTAATACTGCATGTTTATTAAAAGTTCTTTTACTTGCACGGTATTATAAAATACAAACAAAATAATATTTCAACAAACTGCACAAACCAGAAACATATTAATTACACTAAATTGCATGATTCTATCTATATGCAAAAAAACAAGCTTGAAACATTAAATAAGAGTAAGGAGGGAATCCACATCATCTTCACAATGAAACAAATTTGCTTACCATAAGGTTTCTTACATAAAAAGGTGATCCAAACAATTTTATAATAATTTAGCAAAATGTAATAATACTGAAATCCATTTCAAATTAGATCAATACTTCACCAAATAATTTAATATTGCTTAAGTGTCACATTAATTACCTAAGTTATAATCAACTAAACAAACTAAATAAGCCATCAGTTATATATTGGTTTGATTTGCAATATGAATAAAATTACTTTAAAAAAATGAATCACATTGGTGAAAAGGACCACAATAGAGCTTACTTGGAAGGTTCTCCCCACCAGTAATAATACCTAATAATTGGTGTCTTTAATGTAATCTGTTGATAAAATCTTTAAAATGATTCCTTTTATTAGGTCCCCATTAATTTATTTACTACCAATCGATCAATAATTTAATTTGTGACTTATTTTTTTTTTTAACAAATATTTTTATTTCTTTTATTTTAAATTTGATTGTTTTATTTTTAAAATTTATTTAAATATACTTTAAATATTTAATTCAAAATTCGGAAATAGTTAGTGTTCCAGTTGATTTTTCACTAACAGATAAAAGTTCCTTTTTTCATTTGGTTTTCATTCATACACTACAAATATGCTTTTTAAAAAAACAAACAAAAAAGAAAACTTTTTGTTTATTAACCCACTCTTCCTTTATATGCAAAACAAATTTTGTTTCATCCAAATTAATAATTATGTTTTGCATTAAAGCTTTGCACAAACTCTTTTTAAATGAGTTTCCTATAATGTAAAATTTCCTACTCATATTTTATTTACATATTAACAATTGCTCACATATGTAAACCTAATATTTGATCCCACATCATCATAAATGTAATAAATACATTTACCATTAAATGTACTGTTAATATTTTCATTTTAAGAACAAAAAAATTTAATTATTTTAACAACCAAAGTTCATATTTTTTTTTTTAATAATAGCAAATAAATAAATCGTTGAATTACTCATAATTTAGTAGTAAATTAATATTTCTTTGAATGGCAGTTCCAGTTAATGGTGCCACAGAAAGTTGCTCTTGAGTTTATAAAACATGCAATAGCAAAAAAAAATATCTACAAATTATAATTGTACAACAACCAAGTATAGTAACTTAGTTTCGAAATAAGTGGTTTGTATAAAATATCTAAAATGAAAAAATATGTAATTTCGAAATAAAATGTCATTTTTGATATTACACATTATTAACATTTATTTATCCAAACCTTCATAAGTACATTATGTTTTTACTTATTTTGAAATGAAAATACTAAAACAATAACACAAATTAAAACAACACAGTGATTTTTTTTTTAACATCAATTGCCGAGGAATGAATTATTAACATTCATGTTAAACAGGGTATTGATTAAATGACTATTGAACTTTAGATATGAATGAATACATATCGTTTGCAATTTCAAGGCTTTGTTTGCAAATTTAGCTGCTGGTAACAATTCTCAACTATGACCAGGTGAAATAGAAATGGAAACGTTATTTAATTAACTCTTAAACAAAGGTGATTTACTCTGCTCTATAAAATGTATAAAACTTAGTAATGCAAAAAGGTAGCATGAATAAAAGTGAATCTTCATAAATTAATGAAACTGACACTGATTGAATTTTAATTGGATGTGAAACATGACTCACTTTATATAATAATTTATTACTCAGAAAATTAATAGAGATACTTAATTCAAGACATTAATTTTATTGATATATATATATATATATATATATATATATATATATATATATATATATATATTTATAAATACAATACATTGATGGAAAATAAAATACAATAGTTCATGGTAGCAATAAAGTATTACTTTCAACACTAGATATTTAACTTTTGATTAAAAAAAATTGTTTGGTTCACCTCAAAACATTCATTCGCAATCGATAATCATAAAAGGAAAAGCTGTTATTAACATTTTAGTAGATGTTATTTTAAACTAAAATAACTCATACATATCGTTTATGATTAGTAAAGGAACTGGGAATGCTTCTATTACAAAGTTTTTTTAATAAATACCGCCAATCTACACTCTAAAAACAAATCACCAACAAACTAACAAAAAGCCAAACTGTACCACACAGACTCAAAAGTTTTTGAGCTGTTAATACAGTTTGCAAATAATTTTTATAGTTTAACTATACCTCAGTGCTGGTCCCCCCAGTACCCTGTAACATTTATAAAATCATATAAAACAACCCTAGACAAAAAAATAACCCAAAATTAAAAGAAGGAAAAACTAAAAATAAATAAATAATAACTTCTACAATATCAAACACATAACAGAATTCGTAACACTTACAGGGTCTTCTTTCAGTCCAAGAGAGATCCCGGGAATGTTTCCAGCCGCCAGCAAACCCTAGACGAGATCATGCAGTAGTTTTTAATTTATTTATGCGAAACAAAAAATCATATTTATTTGATCAAAAACAAGTGTACCAACAAATAATTAACAAAAATATTTATAAGAGAAAATAAATAAAAAAAATTAACCTGAACAAAGATGAAGAATAAAAAAATACATAAATAAAAAATAACTAGTGTATGTCACCACTGAGCTATATTAAACGTGATATAATTTTTCTTAGTAAAAAAAGTTTAAAAGTAACAATTTAATTATTGTCAAGGGCAAAAACCTTATGTGAATAGGGCTAGCGGTTTGAAGTAGAATCTACGAAACATCTTAATTCTTAGAGTGTAGATGGTTGAGGAGGGTACTATCTGATAATTGACACAAAGCATTTAAAAAAAAAAAACACAAATCCAAAAGCTTTGAAAAAAAAAAAATAAATAAACAGAAAACTTTCTCCTAGTACTTTTATTTTTTTACTCATAATGTTCAAAATATAAATGCATAAAAGCTAAATTTCTTTTATTATTAATCACTATTTGACAGTTTTAAAGGTTGGTATGCCTTGAAATATACATACTTTCAGAAGCCGACTATTGTATTTCTTTAATGTACATAAAAATAAAATAAATTACAAAATTGTATTTCCGTGTATTGAATTCCTGTAAATTCTTTTATTTTACTGTAACTTCACTAAATATGTTTTTCGAAATTCATTTTAGCTTTGTAGACAATTTAATTATCGTTCAAATGAGGATCTAGAATATTCTAGGAGATGTATATAGCTTTTGATTTATTTAATAAAGTTATAAAAAGTTAACAGAATTCTATGGGAACCAGTGATAAATACTTGGATGAGAATTATGATATACATTTGCTAACATTGATTTAAAATAAATTATTGTTTATTTTACTTATTTTTTTTATTTGTCGATAATTTAATTAACTTTCAAATGAATATGATATATTTATCATATTTGATAGTAACTGAAAATATTTTTGAATCATGTGTAAATAAAGCTTTCTATTCATAACTTGTTTTTTCCAACTTTTTCTCAGGTTCTGTAGTTGAAAAGAGGTTTTAAGGCAGATTTCATCATAATAATAATTGTCCAATTCTAAAAATTTAATTGTAATTATTTTCAGTACATTCCATTATTGTACTGTATAACAGTGATGAGGTCCTGTAACTTCTAATTTCGAAAGTCAATAGCGATATCTAAATGAAATTGAGCAGTACTAAAATTGAACTTATTTGAATTACTTTCTTTATTAAGAGTAATTAAATAGGCAATAACGATTACCATTCAGGGCAATCATTATTACAAAATATTATTTACCTGAAGTCTGTAATTACTGTCAGTAGCTGCATGAGCCGCCAGAATAGGATCATAGTATACACCACTGTAACATATAATTGTATGATTTTTAGATGACTGATAATTTTTACATATATTTTTCATAACACTAAAGATGTATCTATATATACAAATATTTTTTTAAAAAGTATTTACGTTTTATTACTAATGTATAACTGAATTATTGACTTCAAATAAATCATAATGAAAATTGAAAATTAATATTATATTAATTTAAAATATGCTATAAATAATTAGCCCAACACATAAAAAAGCACAGTAAATAATACCCCACAAGGCATGGAAATAAATAAATAAACAAAATTAATAAAAATAAAAAAAAACAAATGTGTGCTTCTACTAATAAAACAGTTCGTACAAATTAGTTGATTAATCAAAGTGACTCAAGCTTATTTTTTTCTTTTTTTTCTCACCGAGCCAATACTTCACCAACAGCCAGTTTTGTGAATCATGCACTTCAACAGGCTCATTCAACAAGGCAACACACAATAGGGTATATACACAAAATCACAGGTACATTCGTAGTAACGTTTTCATATACAAGAAGGAATAATAAACATCTATCAATTAAATGAAATTCCAAGTATCATCACACCATTGGCAAATAAAAAAAATACAAAGAAAAAAAATGAAATAATGATTTGCCAACTCATGGATGTTAAACTTTTTGTGATGAATTTGAAATCGATCACTTGGCCACACTCCCAGATTACATTTGGAATTAATTGCAATATTTTATAATTAAAACAAAAAATTAAACCCAAGATGATTATTATATAATTTTTATGTTGTTGCTCGATTAGTTTTGGTCAATAACAAACTTCTGGAAAAAAAAAATAATAATAATTATGAATAACAAAACTGATAAGAATTCAGATCTAAATCTATAACTGTTATTATTTTAGATTTTCTAAAAATAATTTTCCGTATATAAATTTTAAAAAGTTCAAAAAGTATTGAATTGTGGCCTGGAAATGAATAAATGATAAAAAATGTAACCAAAACTAACAATCAAGGATCAAGACTGAATTCTTTCAAACTATGAACTAAATAAATTTCTTCCAAATGTACAAGGTAATATTGGCTGGACCCCTTCAATATGCATCTTATAAAATATATTGAGAATTCTAGAGCAGAAAGGTTGAAAATTGGTATACTAACTTTGAGGGAAGCACTGAGTAAAAGGGATAAAATGGAATGATGAAAAATTTAAAAACAAATTATCATTAGAACTTATATTAAGAAATATTTGAAATGATTTTAAGAAAATATCAAGAAATTTGTATTATCTTGTTCCATATAAACATAAAAGTGAGTCTATGATCCATAATTGATAACCATGGGTTTTCAAACAATTTATATCATAAAAAAATCATGAATATAGGGGGCAGGCAAAAAATCAAACCACAGGCCGGGATCAGCAAACAAAACAATCTTCAAGCCCGCTACATTAATTACAACAAATTACGTTTCTAAACCCGAATATAGAAAAATTCAAGCTGATTAAATAAATAATTAATAATATACATTTCATGCTACTAAGGGTAAAAAAGTTTTAAAGCAGTGATCTGATCTTTTTATTAGTACAATACCACTGTTGGAAAAACGAAAAATTCTAATTTTGTATAGATAACAGAAACACTGTAAAATATAATATTTAAAAACCTAATTTCTTTTACATTATTAATTTAAATATTTTGTACTGATGCTTCAGAACACATGCATTCACAGGAATATAAACAAAGCATCAACTAGTATTATCAAGATTTGTTTGCATAAAAAGATTTTTAAAGATTATAAAAAACTGATAACTATTCAAAAATTTATAAAGAGTTTATTTTGGGAGGGCGATTATTGTAAGCATTGATGCAACTAATAATTAAATTACATGTGAAATAGTCATGATAACTGATTTTTTATTTATTTCTACATCTCCAACCGGCCTGTGGCAGAAAAACATTGCATACCACTGATCTATATTTATATATAAATTGAAATAGAGAATTTTTTAAAAGAAGTATAAAACCATTTCAACCTTCCTCATCAATAAAAATTAAATAAAATGCTTACCTCTGACTAGAAGGGGGTTGGCTTCAATACCTGCCATTAAAAAGAAATACCAAATACCAAAATAAACCTCATATATTGAGGAAATTATAATACCGCTTATTAAATTGTAACTGACATGAGAATAATTTTAGAAAAACTAACGAGTTACCAATACTTTGACCATTCAATAATATGTATAAAAATATGATTAGAACAATTATTTTATTTTTTTATTCTAATTACAATAAATTTTAACTTATGCATAAAAATGCATACAGAGATAAAAAAAAGAGTAAAATTAATATATTTTTATATGGCAAATTCATTTTTGTTTAATAATTTATTGTTTAGACTTTATTGATGTTACATCAACGTCATAGAAATACTTTTTTTTTTTTAAATAAATATAAAGATTGTTTTGCTTGAAATCAAATGTATACTTTAGGAATTAACAATCTCTTGTATCAATATCTTATTGAATCATAATTGATTTAAAGAAAGAAGTATTTTTACAAACCATATAAATTTAAATAAAAATTATTGAATGATCATTATAACCATAGGTTTATTTTGGTAAATGACATTTGCTAACAATGCATTTTAATATCAATATAAGACGATCTGTCTGAAAGGGTAAGTCCAACGATATATATATAAAATAAGTAGATCAGATAATCATAACAGAGTTAAGTCAGAATAGATAAAAAGACAAAGTTAACAGCATGGCAGATTTAAAAACTTGCACTTATTTGAGGAAAGATTAGAACTTTACATATTTTAACAGATGAATAGTTCTAAATTTATTAAAACAAAAACTAATTATTTTACAAATAAAACTAAAAACTCTTTATAACAATATTTAATTACTCTGATCTACTTTAAAAGCAGTTGAGTTACATAACAAAACAGAATCATAAAAGAAAATTATATAAAAGCAAAAAAAAAAAAAAAATCAAAACCTTTAATTGGTAAAATAAATTTTCACTGATGTAAAATAAATTAAATATATACAGAGTTATGTAACTCAAAATGCAATTGTAAATATATATATCGCTGTTTAGGTACTCACGGAGTGTATCCAAGCGCGGTCGCAGTGGCTAGGGGGGAGGGGTGGCGAGCGAAGGCCGCCGCTGCAGGGAACGCTGCTCGTGCCCGCCTTTGTATTGCAGCCCCTCTCAGTGCGGCAGCTAGACATAATCAGCTCACAAAATCCCGCCCGCTCAATCATAGCAAGTTAACAACTTGTCTCTACTCTAGCTAACTTACCCACCCTTTATGCTATATACATTACAGGTTTTATTTATAATTAGCTTCCTTCGTGAAATCTCAAAATTAATACCAGTTATAAACCTCGAGGAACCAATAAACTGAAGAAATTAATCACATTCTTCGACTCACCATATATTCCTGCATAAAACAAAACGAGGACATGTTTTTTGTTTAACAGACGCCATGACAATAAACATTTTGAATATTTTCTTCTTACATCGATCGAAGTACATTAAATATGTTCTTATTTGTTAATACTAATTATACCTGTGAAACATTGATGCCATGCCTTTAAAAGAAAAAGAAAATTACAGACCCAACACCATTTGTATGCACTCTTTGCACATTTGCATGCCAGTGCTTTATCAAATACACAGAAGCATCTAATTCAAACTCATTATTTTTCTTAATTCACAGGGACAAATGCCATATCAAAACAAAAATGTATTGAAATGATGCAGTTAAAAATTAAGTATATACGTTTAAAAATACTCAATGCATTTAATAATCAAATGTTAATGCAACAAGATCATCAATTATCTGGATATCTAAAACAAAATTATAACATGTTGGCCCTGAATAATATAATTTATGAAAATGAAAATTTAGAATGTGCTTAATCCATAAATATCAAAATAAGGTTAAATGAAATTCCTTTGGAAGTGAGAATTCCAAATAATGCAAGACTGAAATCATGTAGTTAAAAATAACTAAAAAATTGAATGTGCTTTCCTGTCATAGTAATAATATGTTGAAAAAATTTGTTTCACCGACAATTTTCAACAAATTATAAATATTTCCAGACAATGGATGGTCTATAATGCAAGTTAGAAAACTACAATGACAAAACAGAACTATAAACAATCAATGGTAATGATTATGTTGTAATATGTCCTAATCTATTACTAATTTTAAGTCTGAAGTCAATCATGTGAGTTTTTTTATTATTTTACAGTCTTATCAGCTTGAACTAAATGGAATGTTTTAAAGTAAACAATTTAAAACCTTTTGGATAGTAAGAGATATTTAAGTTCAGTGAAGTAAGAAAACTTATCAGTAACATTGTGACCTCAAAAGAAAAAACAATTTTTTTGAATTAAATAAATTTTTAAAGTATTTCTACTTATTAATTGCATAGAGCTAGTTGAAAGTGACAAACTTGTCAAATGTACCAAAAGAGATACCTCAAGTCGTAAACGGAATGGGCAAGCATTTTAAAATTTCGTTCATATTGATTAGACTAGCTCTAAGTAATGATTGATATTTTTCTTGGGAAATAAAATGTTCGTTAATCAGCGCAGCAAGTATTTTTCTGAATATGAACAATAAATTATTCATTCCTGTGTATCAGTTCTGTTTGGTTTAGATTAGTTCAGCTCCACCTTAGGCAATGAAAATATTTACAGTCATTGCTTAGATGCGGGGCCAACTCACTATCAGGATTGTTACAACGATTTTAGCACAAGCCAAGAGATGAAGTGCTTTATTGATTTGAGATTCTAGGAATACACTGTTCAGAAAATAAAAAATACAACTATGAGCAGGAAATAAAAATCAAATTTTGGTTGTTTATGTAATAAATCTCAAATTTTCTATCTTTTCTAATACAACTTTACATAAGAGAAAACTTGAAAAAGTAATTCACTTATAAGTAAATAAAATAGCCAGTATATTTTCATTAGTGTATCAGTTAACCAAAATTTTCTCGTGTACATGAATACCTGAAAACTTGGCTTAGCAATATTAAACATAATAGTGACTTCAAAAGGCAGCCACAGTTATTTATTTTTGTAATAAAAACGAAATAAGTAGTCGCTACTGGTTTGAGAGACTGAAAAATTATCATAATATACTTAGAGGAAATAATCTACTTCAATAAAAAAAATAAAAATATTAAATGAGGTATAGAAAAATGAAATAAATGTTAATATATAAGGACTTACTTCGATATTGGGTCAATTCAACAATCCTTCATCAATCTTAACAAAGCTATTATTGAAGAAACCAATGAGAATTTACATCTATTGTATGTTATTCTAAAGTAACCTAGTCCCACAATAAATCATTGTTTTTTTTATATATATATCACTCATACACCTAAAGGTGTTACAATGTTGACAGGAAGACCAATAAAAATTTAAAAAAATAATTTTTTACTGACTATAATTTTTCAAAGCACTCCCATTTATCATCTCTGAAATTTAATCCATGGATAACAATGAACATAATTTCAAAAAATTAAGACTGGAACATATAAATTGTTATTTATTAGGTTTTCCAAATTCCTTTAAAGAAATAAAGATTAACTACCTTCCAGCTAACTATGCAGAGAAAGTCCATTGAAATACGAATACTTAAAAATAAGAAATAGCAAAAAAGAATTTTGAGATAACGTAATATAAAATATCTTTGAATAAAATAAATCCTTTTATCCCAGTTTCATTCCACATTTGGGACTCAATCTTGACATGACCCTATTACACTGCGTTAGGGTGTCTCTTCCCTTCCTTCTGAAGACAATACTTCCCAGACACAACACTTCATAAAATTAGCAACAGTCACTGCCCTTCCTATGCCTCCAATCTTCCCTAATTCAAGTCCTCAGTCCACTCCCTCACTACAAGATTTTGATCTTCTGACCTTTATATCCCTTTTCACACATCTAACTCAATTCAAAACTCCTTTCTTGGAACAATCTGCCACTTCCTGAAATTCATTCCCTCCATTTTAAAATTCAGTGGATGTATAAATAATTCTCGTTTTCATGAATTATATCCTACTTTGACACCGATCCAGATTTGAACTTTAATTGGCTTGTTTCACCAAAACCTGCTCTGAGTCATTCTGCATGATCTCATAAAATTTTCTCTCAACACAGTGCTGAGTTTTTATGATTTACTTAAATGTCTTACCATATAAATAGAAGTTCCTCATATGAGTAAAAGTTCAACTTCACTATAAAACAGTCAGAAAACATTTTAGGAAAGACTATTGTAATGTAGTTTATTTTAGTACATTTTGCACATATTTTCAACCTTAAATTTATAAAATTAAAACCTCTGAAAAGAACATTTGAATCTATACTGTAAAGTTGAAAGGTTGATAACCTCTATATAACTGTTCCACCCCCTCTTATCTTTCTATCAATATACACAAAAGACGAATTAAGTATAGCAAAATGGAAATATTCAAAATTATCCATGCTTAACTACAGGAATCATGTTTGAACTGCTGTCAATCACATTTCCTCATTACTCTGTATCTTTTTTTAAATACACCATCTGGGGTATAAATAAAATAAAACTACATAAATAATTCTTAGATTATTGAACATTTGTTTCTTTTATAATTAAAATTTTTCTTCTATCCTTAATATTGATAGCATTGTGTTTAGTATGTACTTCATGCATAAGTATGTAAATGATAAAAAAAAAATTCCAATTTTCCTATACTTTGGATAATCTTCCAAACCAATATATGTAGGTTCTACAATAATTATATTTATCAGTATACAAATATAATTATAAATCATTACTTTGAGAATTACTAAAAACACTAAGCAACTAAACTTTACTATATTATAATAATTTTTAGAACTTTTCAATTAGAAAAAAAAAACTTAAAAAATATGAGGAGATAGTATTACATACTACAGATATAATATATATAATTTATGGACATAATCTATTATAATACCAATTTTAGGATGGTAAGAGCTAGCCCTAAAGTTGCATAATCCCAAAGGTGATATGATAGAAGTGTTTTAAATAGATACAACCTAGCATAGACTTAAGAGAATACTAAAAATTACTGAGGATGTTAACACTACTAGCTACTATAGCTACGAGGCAAACCTGCCACATCATCTATCTATCTGTTCATCATCAAAAAAATTCAAATAAATAACTCCTTCAGTTTATTGGTACCATCTCATCTATCACAATTTAAACTTTTAATATGACAATGGAAGTTTTCTAAATTAAAGCCTGCAATGTACATTTGTTGCATTTCTTTTATATAACTGTTGGATATTATTATGTTAAAAAATGGTATAATTTCGAAACCAATTATTATGTTTGTTTTTAATGGTCAATGTCCGCGGCAACATTTATAATTATCTTGACTACACATGAGAGCAAAGAGTTATCATGCAGTCACAAACATAAGTCTTATATGATGAAAAAATAGACTCCACCAAAAATAAAAATAATAATAAAAAACATAAAAAGTTTTAGAAAATACCTTTAGCAAATGCAATTTAGTCTATAAAAGAAGTAGCATAGCACCAGAGTACCACAAATCTACTTGAAATGTTTAGAAGACACAATAAGGCGACAAAACAGGCATCTATTATGATTAAAACTTTAATTGTGGTGACTCTTAATACTAGTTTTAAAAGTGACAAATTAAAGCTATTTCACTAATATTGAATTTATCTTCGTCAATGAGACAAAGTCATTTGGCTGTTTGTTAACTTGCTATAAACGTGCCGCAGCCAATAAAAGTGATTTCTATAATATTAAATTTAATTATTTGAAAAAAAAAAAAGATACCACTTTCGGCATGTTTTATTTAAACACATGCGATTTAAGATAAACACAGTATAAAAAAAGTAATAAAATAAAAATAAAAACTGTACATCATACACAATTATGCAACACATAATTTAACGTATAAGAAACATTTTAGTAATTTAAAAAAAAGGTCAAAGATTATAACACAGTTCCACTTTCTCAAACTTCTGAAAACCCTGGCATGGCCAAGAGATAAAAAGATAAAACAGTGTGGAGCCCCTCATGCAACAATTTTCAAATATAATTAACAGCATAACCTTACAAAATAAAAAAAACTGTGGAAGAAAATAAAAATTTGCATTGAAATACTGTTGAAAATTCTAAACCAAAAAGAAATGAAGTAACTTAAATAATATATAAATAATCATGAAAAATAAATTGAACGAAAAGAAAATTAAAATAAAACTATATCAGAAATACAAGTATAAAAATAATATGGAATTCAAGAAAAAAAAGTAACATCATTATTATTATTATTAAAAATTACCATTAATTTATACAAACAAAGGAGCTAAAGGTTATGCTTTTAAAACAAAAAAAAATTATAAAAAAAAAAAATTAATTACAAACCAATTTGAACAAAAACCAAAAGCTTATTGGATGTCAAATGCTCATTCTTTCTACAACCATTTCAAATGAAGGCATACTCTGGACAATGCTTACAAATCCTGATGAGAATGCTGAGCAATTAAACAAAGTCTGATAGCTCTCTACAATTACCATATTTACAAAACAAACAAAATAAAATATTAACTAATAACAGCTAATGTATCTTAAATAAAATGCTTAAAGAAAGAGATGGGGTAGCAAAACATCTCCATAGGAACAAGATGAATTAGTAAGGGATACGGACTATAACGTGCGTTGGAAGTTGGGTAGCAAACAAAGTCATATTGGCACGATATACCTTCGCCTCGTTCGACTCAGTGCAGCCAACCACGGCCAAGTTGCAGCCAATCTGTACCCTGCATTAATAGCACGACTTCAACTAGTTTCCACGTTATCTACTCTAGTTTTAGTCCTACATCTTAAAAAATGACACTTTCATCATTGTTGACATAAAAAGAACAAACCAACCTAGTTTTAAATTAAGTTTTACAGCCGATCAACAGTTGTCAAAACATGCATTTCTCTGTAGAAATTAAGTCCAAACTGGATTTTATATATCAAGCCATATTTCATCTTTCAAATTTGCAAAATTTTTCTGAATTGGAAGAAGAATAAAATATGCAAATTTAAGATTGCATATAAGCTTACTTTCACTGCTCATAGATTTAAGCTTAATAGTTATTTTTTAAGAAATTTTCAGTCAACAAAAATAATATTTTTAATTCTAAACTAAACAAAAATACTTAACCAGTTAATGAGAAAACAATTTACTTATAAACTATACTTTCATGAATTAAATAAGAAATAAAAAAGTTCAAAATAAAATCTGAATATGAAGTAAATAATAATAATGAAAAAAAGTGTGATGAAAATTTAGAAGACACAACAAAATAAAATAAATTTAAAAAATGGAAAAAACGAATACTAGGTTTGATTCGAACTGTCTTAGGCAAAGAAACATTAAGCCTTCAAATATTAACTACATTGAATTTCTTAATTTATTCATATAGACCATATCTCATTTTAAAAATACCAACAAACACATATAAACTAAATACTAAAATACTTAAATATACATAGACCAAAGTAATCAGCCACATTAATTTAATAGTTTTTATAAAAGAACATGAAATTTACAGCTACGTCACAGTTATTCCTGGCTTTATCTACAGTTCTTATCATGCCTGTGAATGTTAGATAATTAATAACACTTATTAAATAGATGATAGAAAAACAAGATACATAAATATTCTACCTTTTAAGGCTACATTGTGCTCGTGAGTTTACCAGCTGACACGCATAAAATTATATCGAGTAATTGATCTTGATTCTTTTCTTTGTTTTATTTATTATTTAGTCAAATTAGTTTAACTGCCAGAGGTCTCAATGTTTTTGAAAAGAAAAAGAAAAATGAATATGTAAAACAAAAGTAGGAAAAAGAGAATAAATTTCTCAATGTTAGTCCTCATGAGATGTGGCCTGCTTAGCACAAAAATATAACCATATAGAGAAGCTTCTAGCAGGACACTATGTCTATTACAGCAAATGAGGTTTAGAACTCCAAAACCCATTAGTTTAAAAAGATGCCACAAATATTAAGATTTCACCATAATTTTTACTATATCTTCTGACTCATGCCAGGCTATTTAGTCGGTAAGCGTGTTGCATGCATGTGTATTAATTATAAATTCATAATTGGATAAATATTTATATAGTAAAAAAAGCTAATATCTGAATTCTTCAACATACCTTCGGGCCACTGGAGGCAAACTGAAACAAGAAATAACTTATGAAAACCAATCCCTAATGTTGCCTTTGAAAGTTTTTATTTTTCTATATAAATAAATCAAGCTATATAATTAAAAAAAACAAAAAAAAATCATTAACAATTTTTTGTACATTCAATAAAAACAGAAGTGCACCATTGAAAAGAAAATAACTTAAATGCAGACTAAATATATCAAAAAACGTACATTGATGTTTAGAACAGAAAAAATGCATGTGCTAAATATGAAAATCTACGAAGTGAGATGAAAAGGTTGATGGACTACAAAAAAATAAATTAATATTTATTAGAAAATTACAAAACCTAAAATAACAAGGAAGAAGCATAAAATAATGACTAAGTGAATTTCAAACGGCTGATATAAGATATATAACCTAAAAATAATAACCAAACAAAACAAAATAAAAAATAAGCATACAAAGCTCCGATTAATTGTAGCGAATTAAGCGAGACGGCTCACCCGTATGAGGCACACTCCCACTCCTAGCGAGAAATACTAAAATGACAAAAATGTTATGTGTAATAATGGGAAATAACACATGCAGGCTAGTTACATGAAAACGAAAAAAAAGAAAACTGAAACAAGTACTCTAAACATGTAATTTTCTTCAATTACTTATCTTGTTATGACTAGATCTGTAAACATTAAGAAAGTTGCAGTCACTATATCATCCATACTAATATTTCAAAAAAATTACATTTGAGACCAAATTCAGAAAATTAACATATGCAATTTACAAATATCTAGTTGGATCCAGAAACATATCCATAGCAGGCATATATTTTTTATGTTTTTTTAAAAAGAATTTTATAAGTAATTAAAAAAATTACAGTGAATCATTAACTTTTAAACAAGCAGTGATGTATACTACTAAAGAATTTTGTCAAAAAATATAAATTAAAAAATTATAAGAAAAATAAAATAAATTGAGAATTGATTTTGAACAACTTCAACGTAAACCTGTACCACTAACAACTCATGAAGGGTTTTTGGGTTCAGTACAAGTGAGGAAGTACTCCTACAAGGCCAACGGTTGTGCAAGGGAGTAACGGGCCAATATTACGCTGAACCGCCAAATTTTTCTCCTTAATTAAGAGTACCCACTTTATAGAGGATGGGGTTGCCACAGGACGGTCTCTCCCGATCCCATCCGATGAAAAATTACTAGCCATCAGCCAGATTCGAACCTGGGACCTTGAGCTCTGGAAGTCAGTGCTCACCCACTCGCTCTCTAACAAGTTCAATACAATATTTAAATATAAAATGAAGCTACCCCAATAAACTAACAGAGAAACTGTACATATGATTCCTGAGAATGCTTCACACATCAAGAATACATTGATCGAATCCAGTTAAAGTAAGAAAATAAAACATCAATCTCTTTCTCTAGCATCGTAGCTTGTTTGTTTATTTTAATGCTGACATTTTGACACACATTGCATGACTGCAAAGCTACAAAAAGAAATACGAGGTATAAAAGAAATTATGGTAATTCTTTTGATTTTGAAAATCCTTTTAACTAACCTAACCATAGGTTTGTTTCTAACCTGTAAAAGAATTATGAAACTTTTCAAATCTATAAACAATATCCCACTAATCATCATCTGATGCTTCCTTTTTAAAAACATCCTAATCACCAATCCAGCTTAGATCTTAATTTGTGAATCTTAATGTTTTGTAAGAGTTTAAGTATAAGTACAAATTTGAAAACTATCAAACAATGAAAACATAAAAATAAAGATGCCCTATACCTCAATATTAGACACAATTTCCTACTTAAATCCTCCAACATATTACTGAACAAAAACTAATAAGATTCAATTCATTTCAAGACTAGTTAAATTGTATACATATAAAACATTTAATCTTCGGATTAGTTTTTTTTTTTAGAAAAGAATGTTGAATGTAGGAGTGTACATCCATATGATATGATAAAACAAATATCCAAATACATTTAACAAGATTCTAATCATCTAAGCATGCAACTACTGAAAACTACAACTACAATTAAAATTGCCCAATTATTACTTATCTGATAATTTCACAACCATGTGAACATTCACATTTGAAAAAAAAAGGCATGGTTATTTTTTAAAGACAACCAAAATTTAAAAATTAGTATAATAAACAAAACAGGTAAAGCTTTTAATATAATATCACATAGCAAATAAGGATAATATTGAATGCAGGGTGCTATATTTATGATAGAGATTATATACTAAAGCTTTTGTGCATATTTTTTATTTATTTTTTTTAATCATTTAATGATATGAAATTATAGCTTGTTAAATCAGTATAACTAGCTGGTAATTAAACCTATAAATGTGAAATAAAAACAAATATTTCTTTCATACAAATGTAAAATTATGTAATATTTAAATGATTAAAAAACTTTAAAAAGTAAAACAATAAACATTTATATCGCAGTTAGCTATAGAAATCAGTATAAAGGTCTCACCTCCATTTGGAATAGTAGGGGGTTTCTTTGTTTGAACTCGTGCAGTCGCCATATTAACCTTATTGGAAACAGAAGGAACAATCAATCACATTTCATAGTGATATTAAGAAAATGAAATAAATATGAATAAAATCATTCTTAAAATTAAGCTTAATGAATGAAATATATTTATTTTAAAAAAGTAATCATTCAAAGAGATGTTTAAAATGATAGAATAAATAAGTTTTGCTTTTTCTTCAAGGAGTAAATGTTTAGTAAATCTTCAATAGTGTATAACATACAGTTAATATAAATTAAATAAATTTTTAAAAAATTCACTTTCTTAACAAGGTCCAAAACTGACTTGCATTACTATCATTTCAACCCTCTCATATATCCATTGATAAGTAATAAAATTGTGACAACAATTGAAGATTGATAATAATTATCTCTTTGGAAGGGGAGGAAAAAGGATTTGAATTTTATTTCATGTCAGATGAAGCACATAAAAAATATAAATGATTGTTTATTATGAAATTAAAAAATTGAATTAATGAAAATGTTGTCACAACATTATGTATGTTATCAAATAGAAAAATTTAATAGAATGAAGTTTGAATTGAAGTAAAAATTAATTATACTTATTTCAATAACAGTAAACTAGCCTGTAAAAAAATAAAACAAAAAACAATTAATAAATATAGCCATTTATACTTCCAAGTATTTATTAAAAGTAATTATAGTAAAGGGGGTAATTTATTATTTATTTTTACAAGCTAGTTTATTGATCAGTATATAAACTATTCAATCAAATTTAAAAAAAATAATAATAAAATAAAAACCTTTGCTTTTTACTACAAAACCTTGATAACCGACACAGAAGTACCCCATTAAACTGAAGACATTAAAGTCAAAAGTGGATTCAGATAATTTTGAAAAAAAGATACATCAATTTCAAAAAGAAAATGATATTGAATAAATCATATGGGTGATGAATATTCGGGATGCGCAGGATGCAGTCATTATAATGTTTTTATTGGTGCTGACATTTCAACCCAAACATGTGATGACCCAAATGTTTGGGTTGAAATGTCGGCACCAATAAAAACATTATAATGACTGCGTCCTGAATATTTATCACCTACTATATGTAGAACAGTCGACTAACTTCTTTCAATAATTGAATAAATTATAATATCAAAAATCATATATTCTGGAATCTCAGAGAATTATTTATTTTAGATTCCTTAAAAAAAGTAAAGTTTTAATTGAAGTATGGTCACTTTTGAATGACTGTTAAAAATGTTGATTTAATATTTACTGATTTATGCATATGAAAAAAAAAATATCAGATTCATGGGGTAAAACTGTTATTTAAGAATAGAAAGTTATATATTTGAGAGAAATAATAATAAAAAAAATCTTCTTACCTTCGGAATAAGAAGGCTAACCCCCTGCCCAGTGAATTTTCTAAGGCAGACAAGAGCTCATTCAGCAAAGAAATGTCAAAACACAAGGACCATATAATACCCACTCCTCACTGATTCTTACAAGTAATAGATAAAGAGTTGTAACAAATACTGAATAAAAAACCGTTGTAATAAAAATAAGCGAGAATTTAATGAGCTCAATCCCAGAGGAAAGTATTTGACATTGCTTTGCTGATTCGCGGCACCTTTCTACATAAACTCACTATGTGGTCGCATTGAAAACACTGCTTCAACAAAGACAATATTTGAAAGCAGTTAATAAGTACAATAAATTTAAAGTTATTTGAAATAATCTTGAGGATTAAGAAAGCAACATAATAAACAAACAAAAATAGAGAAAAGATTAGGTAAGAGAAACATTCAAGATGAATAAAAATGACACATATCTTAAAACTATGCATAAGTTTTTTTAAAAGAAGTTTCTAATTACTATCAAGCATCATTCTCAAGGCAAAAACTACATACTATTTAATTAGCACTTTTGGTTAACAAAATATTCACCTAATTAAAAGCAGGAATTAAACAAAACTACTCATTTAAAATTTAATCTATTGTACTGTTATTAAAAAGAGAATTCTGGATTACTATGCATATCTTAGGTTTTAGCCTACTTATGCATAGTGAAACAGAACAACAGTGACATAACAACAAAAGACACAAAGTGACTATTACCACTTAACTGCCTAGTACCTATAATTAACAAATATATTTATATATGTATAATATATACATTCCATAGTTATAATATAAAACTAATGTTTAAGAAGTGATAATCAATTATAATTACCAAATAAAAAATACATTATACAAATTCATGCTCGTTGTTAATGAGCCATATTACATGTAAGCGCCACAAAGCGAGAGTTTGTAGTGGTGACGTGCTTTGTCAGAGGTTTTCGTAAAAATAATAAGGTTTTGTTACAAAGGTAATAAATGTACTTATGTTATGTGCTACCAGATGTAGTAACAGGTTTTCATGCACACCTCAATCTTTCTTCCCTCAACCACTGTGCCGTGGAGCCGCTCGCGTGCTGTGTCCGCGTCGTTGCTATTTGCGAAAGTTACAAAACCGAACCCCTACATGCAACACAGACAAAACATGCAATGTAAACAACTGCAATTATCTCTATAGAGAAATTAATTTAAAAAAAAAAATTATCTTCCATTATCTTTTTTTCTGCAAAAGGGGAGGGGCCAACGTGCAACACATGTCAGATCATCCCTTGATAATTTTTTCTTTTTTAATAAAAAAAATAAATAAAAAAGAAAACAAAAAAAAACATATAAATAGAAAAAAAATATTATTGCAGACATTTTTGTTTTATCAATGATTAATATATGGGATAATTGTATAGCACAAAGGCAATAAAATTGGGTCATGTACCAAAATATATAAGAATAGAAATAAAGGACCAAATCATATCTCTGTCAGTACTTCTTGAATGTTAACAACAGGTTGATAATTTTCAAGCATTAAAATTTAATTTAAACAAATTTCACATTGACATGTTGCTTTGTAAACAAAATTAAATAAAATTGATACATATTAACACTCTTGAAAGTTCAAGAAAAACTACAATATACTATAATAAAGTGCAGCAATTTTTATCATGCAATTAGTTCATTAACTAATATTCTCCATGACATATTTATATGTATATGTAAATATATATATTTATATAATGTCATACGTCGATTTCCAGTACGACAAACAATTGCTTTAAGTGGTTATTAAAACCAATGATAATAAAATAACAGAAAAAAATACCCATTTAAATTATAAAGTGATAAAAAAATAAATGGGGATCACTAAAATAAAACATAAGTACAGAGATGACTGGCAGGGCCCAGCTACACAAATCTTTGTTAAAATATACCACTGCGAGCCATAGTGGAGTAAGCAGCCAGATTACTGTACAAACTTATAACATATTCTACAGTGCAAAGTGAGTAATTAAATCACAGATCATCCACAGCTTTTTTGTATAGATCTTCTGGTGGTTACTAAAGAAATAATAGGGTTTACATGACGGCCTCAACACACATTCAGTAATATAACCTTACGCAAGATGTAAAAAAAATGGAATTTAATCTAACTACTTAAAGGGCTAAAGAAATATTTAAAAAATAAATAAATAAACAAATTAAAAATAACAGACAAAGGACACATTAAATTATTATAAAAAAACAAAACAAAATAATTCTGAAGTAGAAGCAGCTGTAAGCAAAGGAGTAATTTATATGATAGAATGAACAGTCTTGAGTGTCATATAAACCAAAAAATATTGTATGTAGTGCTGTATCATAATTGATACAGCTCCTAACATACTGTACTATAAATAACAAGTACATGATAAAATATGACCACCACCACCACAATTTGCCCTAACATGCCAGCCGAAAATAAAAACAGGCAAATCACTTCTTTTGGTCAGTTAAAAATACAACCATTATTAATTTCAAAAGCTAAATCACGTTACCGGGCACTACGTTATGTGTACCACACATATCAGGCTTTCGTCTAAGCTAAGCTGTGAATAACGAAAGCAACAAGTTTCGTTCTATATTTACACACTTACTTCTCCAAGTCAGACAAGTAGGTTCAGATGAACAAAAGGAAGAATTAATTTAATTTTGGCAACAATTTATAATGAAGACTAATAGATAGGTATAGTCCAGGCAAGCTAACTTCACTTTGAATAACAAATAACAATTCATTCACAAATTGTAATCATGACTATTTTTCATACCAAAGGAAACATTATTTTAAATCTAATCAAATTTTCCATTCATTTATATATATTTAAATATATGAAATTTTATTTTCAAACATATTTGTTTGTAAACGTTTACAATTAAAACATTCAGAGAATAAGTTTTTTATATTCCATTAAAAATAGTTGAATAAATACTGATCAATAATTATGCTATTATCATTACTAAATAATTTTTATTTAAAATTGGAAGAACAAGATTTAACAGTAGTACAACTGTGATTTCTTGACAGCATGAAAGCAAACTCATGTGATACTAAGCAGAAGCCTAACACTCTGTTTATTCCCTAACCTTCAGATATTACTTATAAAATATTTACTAACCTATACATAAATTAAAAGATTACAGTATAATCTTTAAATATATGTACATTTTTGATAATATATTAATAACAATATTTGAGGTTTAGGGAAAAAAAAGTTGCGTTTTAATTAATTTTTTTTTTTTTTAATGACTTTCCCCTCGCTCGGGTTGCCAACTTAGTTTTACTATAATAATAAAATTTAAAAAAATACTGATTATTAAAATATGATTACTTGAATAGTGCTTAGGTTTGGTATATTAAAAAAATGATCATTTGATTTTTCATATTGAGGCTTTACATACCAGTTACCGATGACATAGCTATTAAATGAAGCATGTATAAATTAACTACACTTAAATTAAAATATATTACATAGGTGAATAATTAACAGCCTTCACTAATCATGATATATTATATGAATGATGTTTTTTGTTTGTTTATTTTTGAAAAGAAAAATAATAGTTATATATATATATATGTATATAAAAGAAGAAGAATACTGGTCTGACTTGATAACTTAAATTCTGCAAAGAGAAACCGCACAAGATAAACAAACTGTAATAAATAAATAAAACTCGTTCAAACAGAATCTGAGATAAGAGGTACAAATAGAAAAAGAAATAGAAATAGAAGAGTAGGTATTAATCGCTGACATGCTCTGTAGTCTGTATACCTGCAACTTATTAGTGAGTATGACAACACATAATGGCAACTGTCAACATCGACATCCCACCTTGTTAAACATAAACATGTGCTTTGTTAAAACTAATAGAAAAGAAAATATTTATATGTTTATGGAAGAGAATATTAAAATTAATGTTTAAGACAATCTGTTAATGAATTTACAGCTCATAAATATCCTCAGAAAATTTTTCAAGAATATGGTATTATCCAAAAGAAGGGGTATAACTATTATCATGCAATGACTGATATGGTTAATAATTAGATGATTCAAATTTAATTTTAAACACGATCGGGGTTGGTACTACAATTACTCCAGTCATGCTGTGAAAATTTCCTTACTTAACATTTTATTTCATTATCTATTCACTTAAAAAAAAAAGATAAAGAAAAAAAGAGGTATCTTGTTTTTCACTAACTATATCTCACTCACATCAATCACCAAAAATTAAAATACTGAACAGCCAAAGGTGCAATAAAAAAGCTGAAAACATTTGGCATACGCAAGATCTTGTAAAATTTAGATGCCAAAGTGTCATAGCAACACAATATAAATAATTTAAATAACTATACTTTAAAAAATTGCAATACCCGGCACAAAAAGGAACTGTGGCGGAACCTTCTACTTCACAAAATGAGGGATTCAAACCAAACACTAATTAAGTGTGCTACATTAAAAATTATTAGCACCGCTTTTTATAATAGCTAAAAGTTTAATAAAGTGATGAAACAAGAAATTAAGCATGCTGTACACATAATTGGCTTTGTAAATCAAAATCCTCCAATGAGTATCAGTCACTTATTGAAGTTTTCAGGCAATTAAAGGCATTAGTTACCAAAAATTTCAAATTAATAACAAAATGTAATTAATAAGGACAATGATGCATCTTTTTCAAAATATATTTTTTTTTAATTTTTAGCAGCAGTATTAGAGAGAAGTTGAATATGCCAAAATAAAAAAATAGTAAATAAAAACTTTTAAAAAATATTGCCTTTGGTGGTGTATATTTGTACAGTATGCAACCAACAATAGCGGCTAAGAGAATCTGATTCACCATGGTGCCACAGACAAAATCTTTCAAATGCACAAACAGATCGGACATGAATTGTGTGAGAAACGTTCGTACACTCTTTCCTGTTATTGGGGGACTGAGCTGACAATTCACTAACCACTGCTGCTATCTATTCGGCAACGATCAGTTTCTAGAAATAAAAATTATATTGGGATTCAATGAGGAGAGGGGAAAAATTAAAGAAATTAAATAAAAAAACAAAAACAAAAACAAAAATGACCCTCACAACTAACTAATTCTAATATCAGAGCAATAACTTTCAAGTGCTCTCGGCTGATCAAGAATATTACCATTTAAACAAACACAATTATTAAACAATTTCAATCTATCATGGCAATTCTAGACATCTCCTCAATAAATATTAATTAAGTTATCGCTCTGGTAATAAAAGTTCAACATTCATCTTTTTTGTTTTTTTTAAATATAATATTTGTAAAAATCTATTTACAATAATTATTAAGAATAGCCAAAGCTGAATGATGAACTATTACAAAATTATAGAAATAAAATTTCAATAAAACTTGTGTCTTATGTGGTGAACATTAATATTTTGTGTACACAATTTATATTTATCTTCTTAAAGATAACAAATAATAACTGTAAAAGAACTGATATGCTTAGTATATAATTTATACACCAATTATATAAACAAATAGAATTTATATTGTTAGGTAAATATTAATGAAATGAAATTAGTAATAGCATGAGCAAAAAGCAGAAACTGAATAAATTTACCTTTGATCCTCGCTCATTGAAGATTATTTCTACATCCAATATCACTCCAAATTGCTGTAAAATCAAACAAACATTCAAGTATAAGAAATTGAAAAAAAGTCTTAAATGAAAGCTATACACCTGGTGATTTTTGTTAACGTGCTCCATGTTTATTCTTCTACTGTGTGTGAATGAAAAACAAATTCAAAGTAAAGTCAAATCAGTGACCGCCTCATAATATAAGACCACAAGAATTAGAATATTTGTATAAGATTATATTCAAATAGAAAGAAAAACAAAAAGATGAAAATGACTGCCTGTTTTAATTGTTAATCATAATCAACATAAAATAAAATTTTGAGCAAAAACACAACCGTAAACCTCTGGTAAAAATCACTCATACCTGATCTTTTCACCCATTAAATAGAAGAATTTTGAGTAAAAAATCCCTAATTTTGAGTAAAGGTGAAAATTATTCATATTCTTGACATTTGAAAAGTTTTTTATAGTTAAAAATTATAATAGTGGAAGACAGCCAAAAAATTATCCATAGCTATGAGCACATAAAATAAGTTATTTTACATTGTGACCAGAAGGTTAATTATATCACACAATAAAAAGAAGATGAAATAAAATAATAACAATTAAATGATAAATTAAAATTGTTTTTAAATGATAAAATAAAATAATATAATATAACCCATGGACCATTTGATAATCAAACAAAGGCATAAAGCCTAATTAGTATATCTTTTTCATTAATCAATTTGTCAACTCTACTTAGTTTGGCAGCCATTAGTAAAGATTAGCCTGTCCACAAGATTATTTCATACTGGCTGATGCCTTTATAATGTTGCAATCAGTCTTGGATTGACCTGGTTTTCCTTTTTCATTTCCCCTCTATACAAACAACTAAATGTTGTGCAGCGAAGCCTATTAATGAATTAATCCTCTTTGTATTCATTCCCCTTCACAGCTAGAGAAACTATCTACTTCTAAGCTCATACAGTAGTAAATTATTTTGGTAGTCTCTTCACTTTATTATTCAAACCAATTTATTCATAATACTGTTAGTATCAATTTATCTATGTAGTTTCCTTTATTGACCTTTCTCTAGTTATCTTGTTGGTTTCTATGAGGCACCTCTTGGCTATTACAGTTAGTGATATCCATCTATATTTTTTTCTTTTCAGTTGTTCATTTCTCTAATACTGACATTCATTCCAGTTACTTTGTTGGTCATTATATTCTCAAAATTTTCCTTTGGCAGCTTCAGAAAATATCTTGGGACAGGTAAATGATTTCTACTGTGACTAACAATATTTTGTTGCTGTACACAGTTCAGATAAAAATGTTACTAGTTAAATATTAAAAATATTTTAGAAATATCTGATTATTTTTGTGCTAATTTAAATAAATTACTGGGCTCTTATTAAATTTATTAACCATTATAGATCATACACTTTTAAAGTTTTGGAAACCTCTTCATAAACACGAAGAAGCATTAAATATTAAATTTATGGAACTTTGTTCGAGTTTAAGTATTTATTTATTCTTAACAGTAATTTACTTTTTAATGTACTTTATGGTAATATTAATGATTCAAATTAAAACATGGTTTTAATGGAATACATATAACAAAGTTATTGCTGTAATAATCATTAATCAGAAAAACATATAATAAGAGCAGTGAGATTGAACAATGTGATATTACGTTAAACAGTAATAATGACAGTATTATGATGACTAAAAATCAGAGTGCATATATTACTTTGGTACAAAACAAGTAAGTTTTTGAATATAAAAATGGAACTGAATTTCAAAATTATAATATAACTTACTCCAAACATGGCTCTCAGGTCAGGTTCCCTAAACCTGAAAGGTATATTTGAAACGTGTAGCCTCTTCGACTGGGGTGTTTGGCCTGGAGGTTTCTGTTCCATAGGGACGAGGGAGTTGGTTGAGGATGTCGGTGCTCCGCTTGTACCGACTTTGGCAGCACCGTTTGCTGCTTGAGTTCCATCTCCTTCACCTTCCGTCTGCTGTAATCACAAAATAAAGTTTTTTAAGACAATTGATATCATTGGTTTCGAAAACAGAACATTTTCAACATATCTGCTAATACATTAAAATGGGTTACTAGTCTAATTAAGAGTAATATGTCACAGTAAAGTAACTATGTTTTTCCAGTTCACTGTAATCCAAGATGCCTATCAAATTTTGAAAAGTTTTTGATTTGTTATTAATTAAGATAGTACATATTTCCTGGCTCCAATTAAAATTTTAAATGTTTAATTTGAAAAAAAATTAAACAACATTTGTAAACAAAAACGTATCTAGAACGTGGTAAAAGGGTGCTAAATAATATGAGAAGGAGTTAGTCGAGGGTGAGGCCAAATAAATAAAAAATTAAAATATATTAATTATTTTAATTTTTGCCGACGTTTCGATCCACTTTGCAGGTCGTCTTCAGGGCTACAAATAAAAGATAAAAAATCTTTTATCGCAATCTGTTTACTTTTAACTTACATGCTATATTCTCCTTTATTTTTATTTTTATTCCTACTTATTTTCCATTTATTTGTATCTTCTACATATATAATTCTTAATATTTAACTACATTGTCACCCACTATATCTCTGATACCATCTTTTATTTCTATATCTGACAACTTTTTCTTATTTTATATGTACTTATATTTATTTTTTATTTACAACATGTTTTGTATCTTTTGTAGCCCTGAAGACGACCTGCAAAGTGGATCAAAACGTCGGCAAAAATAAAAATAATTAATATATTTTAATTTTTTATTTATTTGACCGCACCCTCGACTAATTCCTTCTCATATTATATCAACGGTCAACCATCTCTACATCATTATGGTGCTAAATAATGTTAATGTTGCTACTTTAAAGATAAAATACGAGGGTAAAGACAGTACTTAAGGATGAAAGTCGAGAAGAAGTATAAAACAAATGATTAAATCATAACGTAGAGACAAGCTGTCCACAATTTCAAGGTAAGAATAACAATCTGGCCATAATAGAAGTGGAGCTGGAGCCAAAAATACTGTAGTATTTTAAGCTAATTTTCAACTTAGTACTCCTTTTGGCTATTATGAAAATGCTTGTCTGCCAAATCAGACAGGACGATTTATGATTTTAGGGGCATTTGAATCCATCAAAAACTTTAAAATTTTAGGGCGATTTAAGAAAATTTTCTTTCGTCCTGTTAAGATACAATTTTGAATAATAGGTCATTAGAAAGAGTATGAAATGCTGAAAATTTCCCTGGTCTACAGTATAAAGGATCGAATTTTTGTTTCTGATTTAATCACAATGGAGGATCTATAGCACTATTATAAATTGTATGTTAATTGAACATGATGTGAAATCGAATAGAAACCTTTGGGACCCTCGTTATTGTCCCTCTTTTTTTTTTTCCTAAAAAGATGTAAGAGTACAATGATATACGAAAAACGTTATAAAATTTACTTCAATATTAATAACATCCAAGGGCGGATCTACGGGGAGGGGGGCTTTCGGACTGAAGCCCCCACCCAAAATGGTAAAATATAACCATGTTTTATCTAAAAAAAATATTTAAAAAGTATCTCTTAACGTATTATTGTTCGTGTAATTACATTTAAAAGGGCTTTAGGAATCACTTAAACACCATTTCATACAGGTAGTTAGTTTCTTTATTTTTTTCCAAAGTAATTATCGTTATTTTTAAGAAAAAAAAAAAACTTTCGGGCTGAAGCCTTCCTCCTCCCCCCTCCCAAAATCAAATCCTGGATCCGGTAGTGATAACATCAGATTTTATAATTATTAATAAAGCCAAAGAAGAAAATTATTATTTACAAGTGCTATTCATTTTACAGGGAGGTTAACATATGCCCTGCGATAGGAGTGTGACCTCGGTTCGTTACCACCGCCCCTTAATCTGATTTAGGAGGCCCTGCCTAGTTAGCCTGCCCATCTCCGCCTATCTGCCACTTCCGCTCCCATAGAATGGCCCAGGCAACAGAGCTTCCATATTACACGGCGTAATAAACTATGTAAGGCTTATCAGAAGTAAATAAAATATACTTGGAAATGAACTTACTTTAAAGTACTTGCTTAGTAAATTAAGAACTGGGTGATCGATAAATTACAAGGTTTGTTTATCAAACACAGACCTAGATATGTTCCTTTATTAGTAAGAAAACTACTAGTAACTCGAATCGCGTTTATGTTTCATGAAGTAATTTCAATGTTTTCGTTAATAATAATAAGTTTATTAAATTGCATTTTAATGCAATTCTGAATTTAAAATATTTAAGTTTCAAGAGAGTTTACCTCACTATTCTCTTATATGGAGCAGAGAGCTGGGTAAAAACTGACAGACTTAGGAACCGAATCACCGCAGCGAGAATGAAGTACACAAAAAGGAAGGTTAGAAAAAAAGAAAAGGACGCATAAAGAATGAACAGTTGAAATGGTTTGGATACGTTTTTTGAGTGGAAAGGCAATGGCGACCCACACCTTCATGCGATGAAATATCGTCCATCTCGCTGATCAATAGATCGTCCAAGAACGATGCTTCTCTTTTTATTATGATTATTTGCTGATTGTTAACATACAGCTGGCAGGCGAACATTAATGTAAACAGAAAAAAAAAATCTACAGCTAGGAATAAAAAAAAATACTGTATAGGTGATAAATAGTCAGGACGCAGTCACTTTTTAAGATCTTTATTGTTGCCAACGTTTCAACCAGAGCTTCTACCAGTACTGAAAAATTACTGCAGCTTTTTTATATTTGCTTGAGTTATCAGGCAACGGATTGTATCAAACTGCTTATACCTTTGATCCAATTATTTCAGTTTAACGAAGTGCCATTAAAGATAAATTGGATAAGTTTCAATAGTTTATAAACATAAAGGAGAGAAAAAAAGACAACGGAATAACTCTTAAAAGTTACTTTTTGAACAACAGAAATTCTAAAATCGACAAATTAATTGAGATTATTACTACACTTCCTACAGTGCCTAAGGATTGGTTCCCTAAGAAAGTAACCTATGAGACAGATACTCTTGAAGAGATGATAAGGAACAAATACACTCAAGGCAGCGGGGTCAAAACCAGAGATAAAAGCGAATTAGACGGCCTGGTGCATTCGAATGGGGCCCTCCTTTACGGCTCTAGTCCCTCCATTCGATAAAAGCGGAAACTTGTCAGGAGTCTTTTTAGAGAACTAACCGATTCAGGAGGCTCCTTTCTGGTCCTATTTTCTGCTCCGTCCGACCGTAGATCAGTTCTTTCCGATACGACAGATATCCAATTTGGACACTAATACAATTACTTCTAATAAGATTTAATAACTTATACATAGCAATCTTAATCAAATTAAATGGTTCTGAATCTCTGACCTGCAGCTTCGAAATATGCAATAGGATCTAAATAATAACGGAGAAAAATAACCACAATCAAAATAGCGACTAAATGAACTAACATATTCTGATCAACTTATGTTCCAGTCCCTGGAAAATTCTTCAGAAATAAAACGAGTCCTGTGAACGTCCTGGTCGTCATAAAACCTAGTTATCAACGGTTGACTATTAAAGCTCGGATTATTTAAAAATAAAATTAGTTATTCTAAAATCAATGAATGATTTTTTAAAATAAATGTTATGAAGTACAGTCATAGGACTCAATAAAAACAATCCGATATTTCTGATATTGGTTTTATCCGTTGGAATATATTAGAATTCATTTTTAGGAATTCCGCATAGAAATCAAATATTAGGTTTTTTACCAAGTTCTTATAACTTTGTCAAAGTGTAGAATATATATATTCATTGGTTTATTTGTATAATCAAACTTTATTGTAATGTTGGGAAAGGGGTACTAAAAAAATAAGTAGCAGAAAGAAAGTGAGGAAAAGAAGAAATTTCCTGTTGTTATCGGTAACCTCCTGTAAAAACTTCAGCTGCAAGAAGTCAGATAAAGGACTTCCAAGACCTTTAAGCTTAAGTTGTGTCAAATTAAATTATCAATACTAGCATAAATCCATACATGAAAAAAACACTAATTAAGCCTCGTGGTGAGGTCGTGGTGGCCAAGCGTGCTAAAGTGTAAACTTTAACATTCACGGGTCTGGCGACGCGGGTTAGAATCCGACCTGTACGGGTTAAAATGCAATTCAAGACGGTCACAATGAATAAATCTCGTCCTTAACACTGTTTATCATTATTCATGATGATATCCCCCCTCTATATGCCAGAAATAACGAGGTATTCGAAAAAAAAAAGGTTTTTGGACTTTCCAACTCTACAACAATGGATTTACTGGATGATTTACAACAATAACTATTCAGGGAATCAATTTAAAATATATACTTTGTAACAAAAAATAAATTATGTTTCAGAAAGTTTTCTTTTATTTTAACCTGAATAATGCTATCAACCGCAGGAGAGGACATGAACAATGTTGTAAAATGACACCCATCCCATAACTCTAAATAAATTAGGAACAGTGATTCCAAAAATTATAGCTATCTTTTTTTTTTTTTTAGCCTATTTCTGAGAAGTTGACAGTTCTCTAATTTCAAAAACGAGTTGTCGCTCTTCCAAATATATATAGATAGTACAGCTATGTCTAATTTTTAAAACATCTAGGATGGCGAAGTTCAGACTCTGTTTTGCATTGGCATGAAGTGACCCTAATAAGAACCTCTGCTTATTTGTAAACAGAGGGTGAGGTGAAGCCATACCGTTAGAGGAGTACCTCCGAGACTGGAATCAGAAGCGACACCAGAACGAATCCAGTTTGTGGAGAGGGTTTTCTTCGCGAAGGAACCGCAGAGAAGATTGAGAGACATTTGATTAGTTTAGGTTGGTACTTTTGAAACGTTTTGCACCCTCTGCGAGAGAACAAGAATAAAACGACGAAATTGCTAGACGTTTCCGGCTGCTCCAACCTGACAAACTAAGCTTTCAATGGTTACAGAAGGCTCATTTACTATTTAGAATATAACAATGTCGATATAGAAATACGGAG